TTTCCGGGGGGGGGGGGGGCAAGGAGAAGAGCAAAGAGGGCAAGGAAAGGCGGCTGGCTTGCAAAACGGTTGTGCTGACTATGAGATGCAAGAGTTGCTTTTATTCTCGCGTCCGCCACGCTCGCAGGTGCCGTAAGTTGCCAAAGGCGGTCAAGAACCGAGGAAACAGCTTTAGATGTCATCTAACTTGCCACAGTTTGGGGGCGCCATCGCTTACGGCATCGGCCACATGAACCAGACGGCCGGCATCGCCGGCTGGCGCTGGCTCTTCATCATCGAGGGCATCCCCTCGGTACTCTCCTCATTGCTGGTGCTCCTCTTCCTGCCAGACTACCCAGAGACGGCCGGCTGGCTGACCGACGAGGAGCGCGCGCTAGCCGTCGCGCGCCTGCAGCACGAGGGCAGCAAGGGCCACGACCGGAGCATGACCTGGCAAGACGCCAAGGCCACCCTGACCGACTGGCGCCTGTACGCGCACTACGCCATCTACTTTGCCATTAGCCCGCCCTTTGCGAGCCTGAGCCTGTTTACGCCGTCGATTACGCTGGGTCTGGGCTACCGCGACCTGACGGCCCAGCTGATGACGGTGCCGCCGTGGGCTGTTGCGTATGGTACGTTGACGAGATATGCAAGGCTTTGTGGAGACAAAAAGTTCAAAGATGGACGTAACGAAAAGAAGAAGAAGAAGAAGAAGAAGAAGAAGAAGAAGAAGAAGAAAAAAGGAGAAATCAAAAACTGACATGGACCTATAGTGTGTCAAATCCTGGTGGCGCTCTCAGCCGACCGCTTCAACGCGCGCGGTTACCACGCCGCAGGCGCCGCCCTCGTCGGCGCTGCTGGCTTCATCCTCTCGGCCTCGCTGCCCCCCGACGCATTCAAGTCCCGCTACGGCGGCCTCATCATGGCCACGGCCGGCGCTTTCGCGTGCATCCCGCCGCTCCTCGGCTGGCTGACGTCCAACGTGGTGAGCACCGCGGCCGTCGGCCTGGCCATTGCCCTCAACGTCAGCATCGGCGGCGGTCTGGGCCAGATCCCGGGCGTGTGGATCTACAAGGCCGACGAGAAAGCAAGGGGCTACCCGACGGGCCACTGGACCAATGCGGGCTTCTTGCTCTTTGTCGTGGCCGTGTCGCTGGGCTTGCGCGTCTTTTACGCGCGCAAGAACAGGCAGCTCGCGGCCGAGGCGGACCGACGCGGCGTGCAGGCGCGGCTCTACAAGCTCTAGGGTTTGAAAAAAAAAAGTCGAGAGTTTGATGATGCGGGACAAGGTCGGCGGAAACGTAACATATGTACATGGGCACTCGGGCTCTTTGTATGCCTAGGCAGCCTCGGATATATTAATTACACCGACAGTCTCGCGATGCGTTTTGCCATTTCTCCCTTGAGCTCATCCTATACGCAAATAAAGCCACAACAATACTCAAACAATCTCCTTCAACATTATGATTAATCCTCAGATGAGGTAGTACCGGGCGCACTGTGTTTTGTGAATGCACTAAATGCCTAGACTCGTCGTTCGGCAACAGCTTATTACCTTGCTAAGGCAGTCTTTTCCGAAACACGTCCGTACTCTGACATAGTCACGATTGAAGGCTGGGTCCGAGTCGGCCATATTCTCGGTGTACATGCTGGTCCCGCTCTTGTCCCCTCTGTGGATGTGAATGTCCAACACAGGCCGTGATGTGCTGACCGGCGGCGGCCAACCTGCTGGGCTCTTTGCGGTACAACACGGGCACCAATGTCAAAAACTGTTATTGTGGCGTAAAGGAATATCGGCCGAGGAGTCGGATAAAGCAGCAGGGTGCTTGGGACAACGTCCTTTTCCGCCGCTACCACGCTCGGCAACCTGGACGCGGCGGTTTGGCTACTTGGCTGCGTTGTCCACTCCTCTGGAGACCTCGATCAGGTGTTTGTATTCCAATTTTGTGCTCGAACTTTCTGCTCGTTTGATCTTGCCTTGCACCAAAACTTTGGGGCGGCCTCTCCGAGTTCGTCCAGCAGCTGCCATGCCGTCTTCACTAGCGCGTTGTCGAAACTTGTCCATTGTGCAATTGCCCGTTTGCCTCTGGCAACGAGGGTCTTGGGTCGCTCGTGCCCACTCTTCTTTCTGACCGTGAAGCCCGGTTTGTCCGTGTTGCACTTCAGTTTCGCGGATAACTCGATCCAGCCGTCCGAATCAATAAGCTCGAGTATCAATGGAAGAATCCCTTCTTCAATCCACTGAAAGCTTTTGTGTTTCCCTTCTAGTCCGGTGTATTCAATGGACTGGCTTGGCTAGGTCTGCCCGTTTGCTGTAGCTCATTTGTTGATCCATGCTCGCTCTAGTCAGAAGGCGAGTCGTCGTCGTTGTCGTTAGATGGTGTTGCTCCGATTGACGGTGCTGGACATGATGGCTCAAGCAATACTAGGCTAGGTTAGTGATCCTGAGCAGGCAGCTGACCACAGGTATTGTACTAGAGCTCTCGCGGGCCATGTGTAGCACCTCTGTTTTTTCTGGGAGAGATTTCATTCAGCAATTGTTGTAGTGCCGTCATGTTGATGTCGGACCACTCGTTGTGGTTGTCAAGGTGATGGTGGAAAAATCAAACTTGGTAAATTCGGTGCGTACGAGCAGAAGTGTAAAACCAGGAGGTTAGAAGCTCGGCGGTGCTCACTCACCAAATCCCACATCGAGGGCGTTTGTTGGGGCTTGGCGGACGGGTCAGGACATTTACCCTATTGCAGACATGGAAGCGTGAGTGCACTGATTCGAGGTGTCAATAATGGAAAAGCAGTAAAGTATTCAGGCAATTTTCCACTTTATTCACAAGAGTCTAGCATCATTGATATTTCTTCAACTAGTCATGCGGCATGGAAGAAGGCTACCTATCCCTTCAGCTACTGCAATGGCCCCTGGTCTGTGAAGTTTCCGAGTGTCTCTTTGCATGGCACCTATCCCCTGATAATCTATGAATTTTCTGAGTGCCGGATAATCACGTTTTCCTTCATAACCTGCCGGCCTTGTCGGATTCAGAAGAGATTGCCACATAATTTTTTTTGGAACCGCTTGCATACCTTTTCGACACCCTGATAGACCATTAGGCTGTGATAGTTCCTGAAAGGCCGCATTTCATGACCCACGAATTTGGGGGTCGCTGTACTGATACAAGTTTATAGATTAGGTGGAACTGTAAATGCTTTGAGACCACGACTGCCTGTTTTGGAAAATTCAATGGCCATGTACCTAGCTATTACCGCCCTCACAGCATGTGATGCCTTGAAGAGCGTCGCCGCAGTGCTGGCGATAAGTGATGGCTGCCGCGTAACTCGCCAACGGCGCGTAATTTTACCTATTTCGATATGGAAATCGTTCGCCGAACCCATCGCCAAGAATGCTGGCAAAACTGTCCTCTTCTTTTCAGCCCAGCAGGTCTCTTGTGGTCTGCGAGCCGCCCTTGTCAGTCGTTGTTGAAATATTCCGCTGTCGAGTGCCGAAATGTCGGGCGAAAGTTTTGCATCCCTGCGCGACACGTCTACTGCAAACTGACTCTTTCTTAATGACAAGGTTCAACCTGGGAGACATGGGTGCTCGCAGGATCTTGAATCTTGTCACATAGCCTATACTTAATTAGGAAAACCCATATAAGGTTCCCATATAATTTTGCAGGGGATTATACCTACTTGGATTAGAGAAAGCCTGTATTGTGTCTGTATTGTGTGTTGCTCTTTGATGTGTGCCTCTCACGCCGCCGCCGTTAGCCGACTTGCCGGAAGCCCTGGAGCCTCACACTAAGTAAGGCCATCGTGTGATTCGTCTCGTTATGTTGATGTTGATGTTGATGGGAGTTTTGTTGTTGTTGAGCACGCGAGCTAATTCAGCGCTAGTTACTAGCGTGGCACTAGACTATAATAGGCATATGGCTACGTGACAAAATTCAGCCCTCTGCTCGCAGGACTGTAGATTCTTCAATCTACCTTTTTGATATCAAGCATACGAATCTTGCCCGCATTGCCCAGTAGAGCAAATGCCGCACAATCTATATACTTCCCTGCCAGCTCTCTCGCAGAGTGCCGCCAGAGGCTGCCGACCAGAATCATCGAGAGAATTACATATCCAGCCAGCCTAGAAACGCCACAGGGGCATGGGGCTGGAGTCGGTGAAACCAATGCCTTGTCACTAACTCACTCACCATGAGCTCACCACCAAGATGACTACTTATAGTAGTTGTTTCATCCACGTGGGGCGATTCAGAATGTGAATCTCTTGGTGCCCCTCTTGCCTGCCGATAACTAAATACAGCGGGGCTCAGCATCATGATCAGCGCAGCTAGTTTAACTTTCCACCAAACCGTTGCAGATTAATCCGTCCATGTTTTACAAACTACATTGTTGATTGTGTCAGGCTGTCTGTCAGCTTCCTCATCCGAGCCAAAGACTCGACACTGTAAAGGTGGGGGCTCGACTTGCTTCCCCAATGGTACATGATACTAATCGTGCCAAGCGCTTGCGTAATCCTGCTCGCATCAGGCCTGAAGCTAAATTGAGATTCGGAATTTGTGGCCTGTGTGCTGCGTAGATCACAGGGCTATACGTCACAGCCTCGCAAGTGGAACAGTACATCTAAGTATAAACGCATATAAGTTCCGGTCCACACCGAACAAAAGTGTGGATTCGCATTGACAACACCTGTACGGATATTCCCTCTACTAACTATATGCGCTGACAGAAATGTACCGATTGGGTGAGCTTAAGATTAGGGCATTAAGGTTGGCCTTCTATGCAGACTTTGAAACTATGAGCGACTCTTGAGTCACAGTCTCTTCCTTGAGATTAGGGCATGAGAGAGAAAGATTCTCCACTACTTTACGGCATTTCTTCTCACTCTAACTGCTGACTTCCATACAAGGACTGATTAATGCTCTAGACTTGCCCATGGACCTGCATAGCATGATCCGAGACCGCTGCAACTGTTCGTGGGCAACGCAGTCGGTTCATCCCGCAGAACAACTACAGGCCCACGGACCCGTCAGCAACCTCATTCAACGGAATGTTTTCCGATTCTCTGGCATCATGTCTCTCGGCAACGAAGCTTGACCGATTCTGGAGCGCATTCGCAATTAGCGCAACAACGCCTCGAGCGGTACCGGTCAGCAGTGGCGGTAAGGTGTGTTTGTTCGTAGTAGTTCTTGTTCTTCTGAATGTTTCGCGTAGCGACTAAGAAAGTGCCATCTTGTGTAGTGTGATGGATGGCGCATGACGATGTGATAGAGGTTTAGTGCTAAAGTGGTGTACTTTGATATAACAAAGACAAAGGCAACGCATTGGAAGCCGTAAAATGAAAATCATAGAACAGGGCTCTTTCTCCTACCCTGATTGACTCATGAATCGCTTTACAAGGCTTGATGTGAAAGAGAGGGTACTGCCTGTGTCATGGCTGGGCTAGGGAAATCTGTATGCCATTTGAGCGGGGTCATCAATAGTTTCCGTAATTTCACCTAAAACGTGAATGCCAACGGTAAGTTTTGTCTGAGAATGTTCCTTCGGATAAATAGAAGTGTGTCCTGAACTGGTAAATGCGGCTAATACCCCGCGGCGCCCGCGATGCGAGTCAGTGCTGCATATTTCAACTCTACATTAAGCCACTAAATAGGCGAACTGATGTATACTGTGAACTTCCTGGCCGGTCGCGTGACACAAAAGTGCCGAAGAACCCGGCCGCGTATTGGCTCTGCTTAACGTGCCACAGGAGATCCAAAAGAAGCAAGCAGTCTTTGGAAGTACCTTCTGTACAAAATACCTTTATCGGAGCCACAAGCTACTTGATCCTAGTGATAAAATACACGTTTATGTGGTATCTGATAAACGCCATCTAATGTATTTCTTGAGCTGGCCACAAGGTGCAATACGGTCGAGACAGCATCAATGCTCCACGACTGCCGGGGTTGTTGTCCCTCATTACATGCTGGCTAAATTACAGTAAAATGCCGCCGGTTGAATGCCGACAAGTCTTGCCAGATCGAAGCTCTTCGCACAAGCATAGCCATGATACCGCGACTCAGATGCTCACCATGCTGTCTGCCAAGCTTCCTGCACAACGCATCTGTAGCATTGCCGGGCCCACCGCGAACCTTTGCAGAAAATGACCACTCTTTGGCTATTCCGAGCGACATCATTCGACAACTACGTCTATCGTGCGAGCCGTCGTCTCATGTGTGCATGGTGATCCAGGTCCTCGGTCCTTGTACCGCCTCAACTGCAATCTCCTTTGTTAATGCCCCATCATGAGCTTCTAGGCCGACCTTCTATGCAGGCATCAACCTCTTTCTACTAACATGACGACGCGTACAGGATGTGAGAACCTCAATAGAGTACTCGCATATGCAAGCCGCAGGAGATGAAGCAACTATATATAAAGGCAGCTGCACCGACTAATGGCCAAACTCATCGACAATCAGACTTCAAAGGTCATCATTCATTCAGCACTTCAATCTTTACGTCATTGGAACAAAGAAGATCTACTTTTCTGTTTACACAACATCATGCTTCTCGGCAAAGCACTTCTGGCCCTTGCCTGGGCTACGACAGCTGTCCATGCAGCTCCGTCTGACGGGTATGCGAACGAGAATGGTAAGACTGATCTAGAAAAAGAACGATATAGAGAGTTACTCACAGTCTCATAGGACTAGGCGGGTATGAGAACATGGATGGTGGTAAGACTGACCTAGAGAAAGAATGAAATAGAGAGTCACTCACATTCTGATAGGAGAATGCCCGGCCAATGATGACGGGAGCGGACTCCAAAGATTCGCAATGGTAACGGAGCATATGTCGCCCGGGGACCAGCTTGCTCGCTCATCGTGTCCCTGCTATCAGGGTGAGGATTCGGACCAAAATATCACACCTGAAACTATTGCGGCGTTCAAGAAATACAACATCACCCATATTATCAGCGCCAATTCCAGAGCGAATGACGAGACAATCAAGAAGGCACTCAAGGATGCTGGAATTGCCTACACTCCTCTGCCTGTTGAAGACTTTCACGCCGCAACCCAGGATGATTTCCGACAGGGTTGGGAAGCCTTTACTCAGCACCGCGGCAGAGGTCGTACGCTTGTTTGGTGTGGCTATGGACATGGCCGGACAGGCACGATGATTACTGCTCTGCAAATGTACGCGCAGCACGAGAGGGGCCAGCTCGCTACGTGGACGCAGGAAGACTACGCGCGGAATCACGTCGAGGACCCTACGCAGGAAGAGGCACTCGACGCACTCCAGCAGCGCCTTAGAGCAGAACCTCTGCCAGAACCCACAGCCGAGCAAAGGTCCGCCTTGCTAGCGGGCAACTTTGATGGGATCAACTGTATCGCCGTTCTCACTGCCTTGATGGAGGCACTGTATATTAGCAAAAAGCCGAAGCTCAGAGCTCGTGCGGATCTGGGCAGTCGACAAGGTATTTCTCAGATATCGCCCACTAAACCAAACCACGCCCTTTGCTGACCTCTACACTTTTGCTACAGCAACACCCGCACCCTCACCGACCAAGTTTGATTGTGAGCGGGCCCAGCACATTCTGCAGACGGAAAACGTGCCAGTGACCTGTGAAAGGATCAAGAATATCCAGCTTGGTGTCGCCTTCTCCAACGATCTTTGGTCTGGAAGCTGGGATGACATTGGCGCTACTCTCGAAGGCCCGGCTGGAAAAGCAATTCTGCACGTCGCAACACAGCCTGAGCGGGGATCCCATACCTGGGCAAAGGTCGATATGCAAGCATCATTCAAGAAGGACGAGATCGAGATCACTGGTCTCGATACAATCACTCTAAATGCCGCGGGAATTTTCAACCCGCCGTGGCGACTTGGTGGCAATGGTCAAAATGACCAGTGGCAGGTTCAAGGTACGAGGAGTAAATCATTCTGCCTTTTCTGGAAACTAACATGTTGGACGCAGATATCCAGATCCGCGCAGATTGTGCCGATCCCGGCTTCGAGGCCCATGACAACAAACTGGTTGGTCTGAATGCGTGGTATGGACATCCCGGCGGCTGGTTCACGCAGAAGCTCGCAACCAAAACCGTTGCCACATTCCGTGTCGTCCCCGGTGACTGGGGCTTCTCACCTCCTTGTGCCATGATCAAAGAGCTAGCTTATGCTTTTGACCTGTCCGACAAATTTTATGGCGGTACCAATGATGCCCTATCATTCACCATCGGCGAAGGCAAGGAAATCCCTCTCGGAGCGAGTGTGAGTAGGGGCTTCCACACGGATGGCAAAATCAACCTGAAGGAAATCTTTGGCAAGGATGAGGTTGATATTCGTGATCTCAAAGAGCTCAAGATATTTGACAACTATAGCGGCGGAAATGGAGACCAGTGGGCGTACCAAGGTATGCATTCGCCCAACTTTGCCAGCCGGTAGGCCGGTACACTGACTCTTGGGCTTTTCCCATTCTAGGTATGACTTTTACTGCAACCTGCGCCAAAGTATCCAAGAAGATGGCAATGAAGAAATATCAGTCGGTCAATGCATGGGTTGAGCACAAAGCCGACACTCAGGCAGCCTGGACTGGCCCTATCATCTCTTCTGACTGGCTTGAGGTAGCGTAAGGACAAGGAATCACAGCAGTGACGTTTGGATTACTTTCGCAGAGATTTTCGTTTCCAGCGTCCAGCTCGCGTCAAAAAGTACCTTGCCATAGCGCCGTGGTTGGGCGAGCCAGCTAGTATGTGCCCATTCTAGACATGATTAGAATGAATATGAAAGGGTTTTCTACCATCTATGTCTTTAATATGGTCGTGAGAGCTTAGACTTAGGTGATGATCGTTTCCGGGTTGAGCTCTGACCACACTAAAAAACAGGAACTGTACGGAGATTTAGTTACGGTATAAAACTAGCGGCAAAGAAAAAAGGAAAAGAGGGAGGAAGCACACGACAGACGAGAACTGAAACAGCACGACGAACAAGGTAATTCAAGGCTAGCGCCATTTCCATCGCATGCCATTGTTGAGTGAGTGGTGACGTAAAGCACTTGAGGAATGAGCCACATCTGACTTCGAGCCGCGAAGGGTTGGGCCAGGATTCAGTCACGTCAGTCAAGTGTTAGTATAGTGGCACCAGTGGGTGACTGGTACGCATGTGAAACTTGCTTTGGAGCTTCTGCAGAATATGTGGTCACGTCGTCGTCGAAGTCCAAGGCAGAAGTTGGATGGCGTGGCGTCAACGGTGAGGGCCCGGGGATGCAAAAAGGGTCCGCTGGGGGGACAAGTGGGTTGGCTGGCTGTCGCGGCGACTCATGTCGACTGCATGTTCTCAACACGTCAAAACAAGGACGGCGCTAGCCGCGGTGGCATGTGGGTAGTCTTGAAGAGGACTGGGTAGATCGTGACAGGGTAGGCGGGCATGGCAGTATCGTTGCGTGTATCGCGCCAGGTTCGGGGGGCTGAAGATGGATGCTCCATGGTGGGTGGGACGAGACGAATTGTTGATGGACAATGGGATGAGAGGCGGTTTCATCGAAGATGTGTATGTAGATAGATGGTTGAGGCTCGGTGTTGATAGTGGTGGTGTTGGGCTGACAAACGAGAACTAGCGACAGGATGACGTTTGTTAGTACGGATATGCATGAGTGGGAAAAGATGCAAGTTCAAACAGAGGACACGTACGATGGATCATTAGTCTGGCCGCCCGCAGGAGACTTTGTTGGACTGACAACTCGGTCAAGCGTTGAGTAAGTACTTGAAAGAAAGAAAAAACAGTCGAGCTATGCTCGTTTGCCAAGGCAGCCAGCCTCCTGACTACTGTAACAGCCAGTGACCACTTTCACTTCTTCAGGATAGGCTGTCTGGGTCGACTAGACTCTCCGGACTATAAATTCCGGCCATAAAATCCGCTATCGTTATACAAAGGCGTCAAGTTTTTTCCTTCCTTGCATACCGCGGAGTTTGAGGAGGATGTCTTCTTTCGAGGGTTCATTGACCTCATCCATAGGCGGGCTGTTGTTCCCATCGCTGTGGCTTTGAAGGCTCATGATGACACTGGGCATCAAGGTCTCAAAGCTGGCAATCTTGCGGAAAATGTAAAGCTCTGAGAACAGATCCTTGTCTTGACGTAACGTATATTTATCGGCAAGAATTTTTGTTGTCGCAACGGTGTAGAATTGTCCGTAGAATATGATACTCCAGGGGCAACCTAAGTAAGCACTCGTGTCATCACGTGTATGTCGAAGCTCTGAGCCCTGAGAAAATGGTTGTATGGTCTAAATAAAGGATTTGTATAGAAAATAGAAATTAAAGGATGCTAAAAAAATTTCAAGTTTAATATGTATTTTTTGCTTCTCGTGGCTAAGGAGTAAAAAAGTCTATTGTGACTGTCACGCCTGCCTGCGTGGAGCGGAAATAGAGTGAAGCGATAAGTCATACACCCTAAAAGAATGGCAATTTGGCTGTATAGATCTTAGATAACTGCGTGACTGCCTACATGGAGCGGGCGCACTAACACACGCGACGCACCTATCCTTCGGAAAGTTAAAAATAGAGAAGAAAAACCACTCCTTGATGAGTATATTTCAAGTTTATACGTAATCTTTCCTTTAGTGGCTGCGATGGTGGGAAAGTATTCATCTATTGTACCTGCCAGCGTGGGACTGTACTCACGAGCCATATACAGTGAAGGATACAGTGGGTAGTGTTGAAGAGAACTGGGCAAAGTCGTGGATCACGACACGGTAGACAAAAGGAGGGTGGGGGGGGGGGGGGGGATGGCATGGCAAGATATGAAGATGAAATGTTACATGGCGGGAAAGGCCGCGATTGTTGACGGGCAAAAGAGACGAGAATGGCTGATTGAGGCGAAGATGTCTAGATGGTAGAGGAGTGTGTTGATGGTGGTGCTGGGCTGACAAATGAGACTAGCGTTGAGGGTCGCTCTTGGTAGGTAGATATGTATGTATCAAGCAAAAGTTGTTGGAGTTATGGAAAATCAAGACTGAAACAAAGCAAACAATGTAAGTACTTGGCGGTGATTGAACAGTTAATTAGCGGTAATTGATACTTGAGAATTATGACCAAGTTTGCAAGTACAAGTAAATAGGTAGGTGATGCTCCCCCACTAAACTTGGCTGCCGACCAGGGTTTCAGGCGGGGCACAATGACGTCTTCGGGAGCGTCATAAGAGATGACCCGCGTGCACGTCGCGCTACTGTTGCCGACGCACGCTGCGGGTTTGGGAAAGGGTTGAAAAGATGATAATATATAATATGGCAAAAGAGACTCTGTGGACTCGATTATTCGCAGCATGTTGCCTGCTTAGGACTGATGTGGGCCACAAAAGTTGAGGTTTTCGCTCTGGTATACATGCCCTCTCGTATCCTTGCAAGGTTAGGGAGGCGGGGAGGTACAGAGGCGAGAAACGCGAGTTGACCAAGGCCAAGATTGTTATTATTAGCTTCTTGCCGGATCTGAATGGACCCCAGTTCTCAACGCCCGACTTGCTGTGATGATGTAGATGGACCTTGTCTGCACTGGTAGACCCGCCCGCTGCTGATTAGTGGAGTTGGACCAAAAGCCACGATAAGAGAGTCAGTCAAAGCAGTGTTTTCCCAGCCGCGATACAGCACGAGTCAACGGGATACATATGAGGGAAAAGAAGACGAAAAAGTGTTTGAGACTCGTCGCCCGGGAATAGGAAAAATTGACCCAAGTGTAATTCATTGTGCAGAGTGCAGCCTTGCGTCTTGGTATCTAGCCGAGTCACCCAGGAGGGTGCAACTTCAGCCGCAGCCATGAACCACCACCGTGCGCCGTGCATGCAGAATTGGTGGGTTGCAACTTGGTAAAACCAATGCGAGTTGTTGCGTCTTGGGGGCAGGCAGCTGGCAGGCAGGCACGGCACGTAGGTGTAAGTAATCAGCTACGCGTTGTGCTGTGTGGCTTTGGCAGGGCCACCATGTACCGTGTTATGGCAGCCGAAACCTCGTCATTAATTGTATAGGTAGTTGTCTCGCTAGCTAGCCGCTTAAATCCCTAAATAGGCACCAGAGCAGCTCAAGTTCATCTCTTTGCAAAGTCATCTTCATCATCCTGACTTCATACCACAGACCTTTGTGTACGCCGATGACCAGCTGCCAGCAAGATGGCAGGCGTTGCGGGTAGGCGGACCAGCGGGCAACTGGTACCTGTAGGTAGTGGTGACGTACCTCACTGGGCCCGGTGGTCAGCCCACTGAGCCCACCAAAAGTACAGGTGCAAATTGTGCTGTAATTCCCTGTGTCATCCTCCACCAGGCCTCACGCTCAGTTGACTGCCCGAGCTTTCTAATCAAATCCAAACCGCCCACCAATCCAAGGAACAAGATACAGCCCCCCCCGTCCCCTTTTTCCTCTGCAAAGCCATCTTCTTTGACCGTTTAAATCCTGTGCCCATTTCTTCTTCTTCTTTTCGCCTGTAATCGCATCAAATCTGTTTCTCTTTCTCCTTCGTCCCATTCTCCCTCCTCGCTTCCGGTAAACCGCTTCGACCCCTCCATCAGCCCAACCCGCTGCTGTACGTCATCCCGCCGTCTCCGGCTGCGTCAAAACCCTTTCTCCTCAGCAACCCCGCCAAAAATCCGTTCAGGCCCAGGCCCAGCCCAGCCTGCTCCAAAACCACGCAAACTTGGAAATCTGCCCCTCGACTTCATCTCCCGTCGTATCGTCAGCTTCATCCTTGTCCGCCCTCTGCCTTGCCGCGGCGCCGACTTTTTTTCGCCCAATCTCCCACCCAGCCTGCCAGAGGCTGCTAGAGCCTGCCAGAGCCCTACAAACACGACTTGTCATATTCTCACTGTGTGCCACCAGACGCTTCTGTCTGTGATGCCGCCATGTCCACCATCCAGCAATTAAAAAACTTTATTCGGCACGGTAAGTCCAAATGTCACACCGTGGCTCGCGCCAATCTCGCATCACACTGGGGCTGCGCGCGACTTGCCCGCCATCTCGTATGCCCGGCCTTTGACTAAATTCAGACTTTCCTGTCTCAGGCAAGCAAGCCCGCGCCCCCAACGAAGAGCCCGCCCGAAAAGTCGAATCCTCGCCCAAGCAGACCACGACCAGCGACAAGAGAAAATCCGCTTCCGATCCTGCCGTCTCACAGTCTACTGCTGCTTCCCAAAACTCTGAACCCGCCGAAAAAGTCGCTCGCAAAGAAGATCCCGCCGCCAACCCTACAAATCGACGTGTCGACGACGCCAACCTGGCCAAGCTCGTCGCCGAGGAGAATGCCTCCAAATCCAAGTTTCCCCAATACCCTGGCCTAGAGAGATGGGTTCTCCTCGAGAAGATGGGTGATGGCGCCTTCAGCAACGTCTACCGTGCCCGCGACACCGAGGGACAATATGGTGAAGTCGCCATCAAAGTTGTCCGCAAGTACGAGATGAACAACATGCAGGTAAGTTTTTTTCTCATGACATGATTCATCAATTTCGCACTGTTTTATTTCCTTCTCCGTCATTTCTGCTCATCTCACTACGCCTGCTCCCTCATGAACCATGAACTTTACCAACTGGGGGGGGCCTCGTGCCCTAATAGGGAAACGATCGTATGCACCCAGAATTCAAGAGGGCGCCCAAGGCTGCAGAGGTGCGACACTTCTTCTCCATATTCCGCGCCTGTGCTTTTCTTGATAACTTAATACCTCTTTGCTTTTGCGTCTTGGCTTACCCAACACCGATTCCAACTTCACATTACAACTCGCGCGTGTCAACCACTCACTGAACCTATGCTGACGCCCTCTTCTCTAGCGCGCCAACATTCTCAAGGAAGTACAGATCATGCGCCAATTGGATCACCCCAACGTCATCAAGCTCATTGACTTTTCGGAATCCAAGCCCTATTACTACATCGTCCTCGAGCTTGCTCCTGGTGGTGAGCTGTTCCACCAGATCGTTCGCCTCACATACTTTAGCGAAGAGCTTTCAAGGCATGTCATCGTCAAGGTTGCTAAAGCACTAGAATACTTGCACGAGGACAAAGGTGTTGTTCATCGGTAAGTTCTCCATTGATCATGTCCGAGCCATAGCTCGAATCCTGACTCGTTTTAGTGACATCAAGCCTGAGAACATTCTCTTCAACCCCATCGATTTTATTCCTTCCAAGGTTCCTAAGCCTAGTCAGCCTGGTGACGAGGACAAGGTCGACGAAGGCGAGTTCATTCCTGGTTTAGGCGCCGGCGGCATCGGCGAAATCAAAATTGCCGACTTTGGTCTGTCCAAGGTTGTGTGGGACAAGCAAACCATGACGCCCTGCGGCACCGTTGGCTATACGGCTCCGGAAATCGTCAAGGACGAGCGCTATTCCAAGTCTGTTGACATGTGGGCCCTCGGCTGCGTCTTATACACCCTGCTCTGCGGCTTCCCTCCTTTCTACGATGAGAGTATCGAAGTGCTTACCGAAAAAGTCGCCAAGGGACAATACACCTTCCTCTCCCCATGGTGGGACGGCATCTCAAAATCCGCCAAAGATCTCATTTCACATCTCTTGACTGTCGACCCTGAGAAGCGCTACACAATTACCGAGTTCCTAGCCCACCCCTGGGTTCGTGCCAGCGGCCCTACTCCACGAGAAGAGCGCAAATTCGAAGCTCCGCTCCGCGCCTTTGACCCTTTGAAATTGGACGATGGTAGGCGACTTGATTTCCGCTCTCCGGGAGCTGTCAATTTGCGAGAAGTTTTTGACGTCGGCTACGCCGTCCATCGCCAAGAAGAAGAGGCCAAGCGACGTGCACAGATTGGTGCTCGTGCCGGTCCGGGACGCTCCCTAGGTGGCTTGAACGAGGAGGATGAGGAAGAGACAGAAGCCGACAAGCAGCCCCAAGCCGGTGCTCGTGTCTTAGAGCAGGGAATGCGCAAAGCAAGCATCCAGGATCAGGACGCCAGCACCCGCGGTAGAGAGCGCGACCGTGCGAGCAACGAAAAGGGCTATGGCCAACACTCATCAACCGTCACGGCCGCGGCCAGACAACAAGTCCGCGACCGGAATCGCAACAAGGGACCGTTTGAACTCAATCTCGATAATGCGACTCTGCTTGGCAAGAGAGGGAAAAAGGTTCCCATTCTTGGTGCATGAAGAAATGACGAATACAGGCATCAGAAGATGCCAGCCGACATGACGCAAACCGAGTCAAGCTTAATGGCATACGTTTTTGATACACGCATACCCAATCACAGCAACGTGGTTAGGGAGACTTTATTGATATTGTGCCGAGGCATGCAGCCACTACCGCCTCGCCCAGTACACGCGTGCGGTGATGCTATCCTCTGTTAGAGGCCGGCTAGCGGTAGTAGTTTGCTTTACACCTGTGGCCAGGCGCGATGGAGTAAATGGTTTGTCTTGAGTTAGTTTTTGTTTTTATTTCTTTCTTATTAGACGAAGCTCAGAAGCCAGCCCAGTCGTTCTCACCATTTTTTGTTTGCCTCGTGCGATGTCTTATTTAGTCTTTTCCTCGGGCTGATCCTATTACTCTTCTCTTTTATCACTGCACATGTGTTACAAATGAAAGCGAACGGGAGACATGGCAACATTGAGAGCCAGCTACGTCATATAGGAACTGCCCAGGGCAGTTGCACAGCAGAAATACATGGAAACACCGCTGCATGCATCACAGAACTCGCATCTTTTGCCGCAATTAAACTCGGCGTGAATGTGTGCCGCGGCATGGGCCTGATGTGCATCAAGATTCCCTATGAGGGCTGAGGGCCGACGAGAGTTGTGCGAGGCAATGCGCCCTGCCGCGGTGACTTGTTAGTGACAATGTCCTCCACAACGTGAGACTACATGTGTGGCGCCTCGCTTCTATCTGCATCTACTTAGACGAGCCCATGTTGGAGAGCAAGAGCCCGTCCCTTCGTACCTTCCGCTGCAAGGACGAGGAAACAAAACACCTTATCCGTTTGCACCGTCGCAGTCACTCCTCTTCTCTTCATCATCATCAACATTATCAACATCGTCATCACAAAAATGCATTTCTTACTCTTCGTCCTCAACGCGATCCTCGCTGCAAACCTATCTAGCGCGGTGTTTGTCTTGTCTGATGAAGACATTGACGACTGGTTACCTGGCCCCCTCGTCCAGCCTAGCAAGGAGTGCGGTCAATCGTATAATCCCCACGATGTAAGTCCAAACATTAATTTTCCTCTACTAAAAACTTGAAAACACACTAACATTGATGATGCTTCCTCCGCAGTACGTGTGCCACAACGGAAGACTCTGCCCTGTAATCAACGGCGAGCCGCTGGGCCTTTGCGGCCCCACCTGCTTCTCCAAGTATATGTACATCTGCCACAACGGCACGAGACTGCTGACTCGGCCGCCGCTGCGCACGGGGTTTTCTACTCTACGCGCCGAGAACCCGCGAGAGCGCGAGGAGGTTGCCGGACAGAAGAATTACACCAACGGCGTCGACGGCAAGCCCATGACGGCTTGCGGACATGCGTGGAACATCGGCGGCAATACATGCAGCTACTGTCACACAAAGACGGTGCCGAATTGCCCGTCAGGTAACCTGACGGCGCTGTCGATGGCAAGAAACTCCATGCTCGTCATGGTGCCCGGCGGCCAGCGATTCTTTCTGACCGCGGACTGGACGATCGGGTACACCAGTGCTCATTCGGCGTTTGAGCCGCCAGGATCGACGAAGGCGGGGTTCAGGACGTACGCGGGAGGCGGATTCTTCAACAATTTGAACGGCGCGTGGGGGTGGGCGGCGTGCGGGCAAGGGGAGCAAAAGAGGCTGCATGTGAGAAATTCGACGAATAGACAGGAACTGAAGGGCTGTACGGGGCTGAATCTGCGGATTGAGGAGTTTGAAGGTCTCAGACCGGCTTGGCAGTATGAGTAGGCGTGGGTGTGTGTAAGTCAGGAGAGAGTTTCGGATTAGCAGTATTGATAGGCATGACAATAATATATTTTTCTCAGCTCAATAATTGTACGTGAAGACTCATCAATATGAGTTTATGGCCAGAAGAACCCGTGACCAATGTCCGCTGTGGCTACGATTCTGCCCGAAAAAACGACTCACCAAAGGGGCACTAATCCTAAGGGCTGTTGCAAGATCTCACGAGAGAGCAAAGTCCTGAGGTGCATTATGACTGCTACCTCTCATGTAGGCAATCCGTCACTCGTAATCGCAGGTACATATATCATGAGCTTGCCACCTTCAAAGTATACGATCACTTGCACATGAAGCTGGCTCAGAAAGGAGGCCCCGTTACACCAGCTGCTTGATAGAATCGAATCATTGCTTTCATCCCAGGTAAGCATTCTTTTTTGGCCCCAAGTAGAGGAGCTTTACTGCCCAAACCACGAATGTAACGCTCTCGTCACATCCTGCTCCTACCTCTCCCGATCTGCCCCAGGCCAATCGACGAGACGTTCGCTGCATATGACCCCCTTGAAACGCGCAGTTGTACAAGAGCTCACGGGCAACAACATACCGGAAGCATGTCGCATGCCAAGGTACCCAAACGCGTGCCCGCGAGGGGTTGCAGCGGCGGCATCAGCTCCAGTGGTGCGTTGCCGCCCGCCCGATACCTACTGCTAGACGGAGGAAAGGAGGCCATTGCAGAGGCGGTTGCGTGAGCAGCAGCGGGAAGCAAATCCATGAAAGCTAGACGTTCGTCGATACTACCGAGCTCGATAGTGACTGTTTCAATCGACATGCCCTGTTCAAATAGCCAAAGAGCGGTGCGACTGAAACGAGAATCAACCCACTTAATGATGGGTGACAGACACTACAAATGGCCAAGACGCTCGATTTCTTTCATCAAAGAATGCCGCAATAGAACATCATGCTAGCATCTGTATTTGTATTCATCTGTCAGCCCCGGCGCCTCAAAGGTATCGTACATTGGTCTGTGACCCCTGATCTCTTTGTGTAATGGTAAAATTATCCTTTATAACTCCTCCTCCTCCTCATCAGTGGCCATTTTGTTCGCCTCGGCGGCGCACCGGCCACCAGCCTCGCCCTCTTTCTTGGGCATTGTGGCCTCCTTGTCAATCATTTGTCTCGATACTGAAACAATATTGTCCTCGATGAGCTCTTGACCGACATCTTCCAGGTGCTTCTTTGGGTCGACTTTGCCGACATAGCGGGTCTTGAGCTGCTCTTTCGTCAACTCTGTCTCTTCCTTGACGCGCTTCTCGTAGCCATCGGCCAGAGACACTAGGCGCTCAAGGCGGTCCTTGTTCTTCTCCCCTTCAACCTTGAAGTCGTTCATCTCGAGAGCATCTGTCCAAACGTGCTTGTGCAGGTTCATCAGCATGTTCTCCTCCAGCGCGGTCTTGCGGTAGTTTATGCCGATCGAGTAGTAGTGTCGGTTGAGACCGTGAATGAGCGCCTGGATCGATGGCTTGTTGAGGTGGCCCAAGTTGCTCGTACTTTGGCGCGGCTCCTGCCCCATCATAAGAAGTTGGGGGTTGATCAGGCGGAAAGCATCGATGACGACCTTGCCCTTGACCGACTGGATGGGGTCAACGACAACGGCCACGGCGCGCGGGTTCAGCTGCTCGAAGGATTGCTGGGTGTTTATATCAACAGAAGACAGCCAGCAGCCAAAACCAGGATGCGAGTGGTACCATCCGACGACGGACTCGGGGCTGTAGAAGAAGAGTTAGCAGGCCATTGGCGCTTGATTTGTTGAAGGATGCTTACCGTCCTGTTTGGCGCAACATGTCCATCATCTTTGTTTGGAATACGGGATCGACAGCCTCGACACTAACGCCAGTTCCAGACTGGGGCATGGCGAAAACGTCCATAACCTTGACTGTGAAATCGTCGACAAACTCGCCTAGCATCAGGCCCATGACTTCCATCGGCACACCAGCCCGACCGTGTCGCAGCATCTTGAGAAGTGCCAATGATGAGATGTAAACGGTCTCGGAGTTGTCGATCAGGTTCGTATTGTCCTGCGTGCAACAGCTGTTAGCGACTGCAAGACAGCGTGCGCCCGATTGGAAGCTGCTTTCTTACCGATCCGTGAGCAGCGCCGCCCAAGCCCATTCCACCGCCTCCCAGCAAGTTTCTGAAACGCTCCATGTTGGTTTGGCTTCAGGTCAAAAGTATAGTAAGGTATGAGTTTGAAGAAGCAGGAAAGATCAAAACTCGTGGAATTGCGGCGTCAATGCAGTAAGCGGCGATAGCTGGGAGCTTTTCGTAGCGCCAGTTTGTCTGACGCCAGCCCGGCAGCCTGTTCAATGGCGGGAGAGCTACATTGGAGAGTCACGTGTTTCAACCGTGGTTGAGACTCTGAGAGGCATTGGTGTGGAGGCTAGCCCCAGTAGGTGGGGACAGCGGCGCGACGGCACCCTGGTTCTTTGCGCCACACTAAAACTTCATGTGGCTGGGATGTGCAAGTGGTGACAACTCGCAGGCAGGGGACGAGCCGTAACAACTTTTATCCGCCACTTCCGGTAGGTACCTTAGTGTGCTCCCACTCCCACCCACCACGCGCCGTTTGAAGTTCACTGTCGCATTCTGGGCTCGAATCCTCTTCCCTCCTCCATTGCTCCAGGCTTTCCCCTCGACATGCCCAAGCGGAGCTGAAAAGAGACGCCCAGACCTCCGAAGCATTCTTCCTTCTCAGTATATTTTCGACAAAAGCTCACCCAAATACCCGCGTGCACAATATCCCCGTGAAGCGCATCGCGATGGGCGAAGAAGAGTCCAGCATGGCCCAGCTGGGGTCAGTGGCCCTCAATGGCTCAACCCCTAAGAAAGTTGCATACTTCTACGATTCTGATATCGGCAACTATGCATACGTTACCGGTCATCCTATGAAACCTCACCGTATTCGTCTCGCCCATAGTCTCATCATGCAGTATAATCTATACCAGAAAATGGAGATTTATGTGAGTTTGCTTTGCCTCATACGGCACAACAAGACGCTAACGCGTGGATGCAGCGCGCCAAACCGGCGACTCGAGGCGAAATGACACAATTCCACACCGACGACTACATTGATTTCCTTCAAAAAGTCACCCCGGACAACATGGATAGCTACATGCGTGAGCAAGGCAAATACAACGTTGGTGACGATTGCCCTGTATTCGATGGCCTTTTTGAATTCTGTGGTATCAGTGCAGGAGGCAGCATGGAAGGAGCTGCTAGACTGAACCGACAGAAGTGCGACATTGCCGTCAATTGGGCGGGAGGTCTCCATCATGCCAAGAAGTGCGAAGCGAGTGGCTTTTGCTACGTCAACGGTATGCTGTTGTTGTGTCAAGTGTTGTCACAAACTCGCTGACTCCTGCAAACAGATATTGTACTTGGCATTCTCGAGCTGCTGAGATTCATGAAGCGCGTGCTATACATCGATATTGACGTCCATCACGGAGATGGTGTTGAAGAGGCTTTCTACACAACTGACCGCGTCATGACCGTTTCTTTTCACAAATACGGAGAGTACTTCCCCGGGACTGGCGAACTCCGTGACATTGGTATAGGCCAAGGAAAACATTACTCTGTCAACTACCCGCTTCGCGACGGCATCACCGACGAATCCTACAGATCCATCTTCGAGCCTGTCATTGAGAATGTCATGAAATACTACCAACCCGAGGCTGTGGTTCTGCAGTGCGGTGGCGACAGTCTCTCCGGTGATCGACTCGGTTGCTTCAACCTGAGCATGGACGGCCACGCCAACTGTGTCAATTACGTCAAGAGCTTTGGCCTGCCTACCCTCGTCCTTGGCGGCGGTGGTTATACCATGCGAAACGTCGCTAGAACTTGGGCTTTTGAGACCGGCGTCCTTGTTGGACAAGAGATGGAGCGTACTCTACCATACAACGAATACTACGAAGTACGTATATCTCGGCACTAATGTCGTGGAACGAGCTAACTAGTCGCAGTACTACGCTCCCGATTTTGAGCTAAACGTGAGATCTTCAAACATGGAAAATTCCAACAGTCGCGAATACTTGGAGAAAATTACTGCTGCAGTAATCGACAATCTTCGGAATACGGGCCCGGTGCCGTCGGTACAAATGCAGGATGTTCCACGTAAGCCGTTTGGTGGCATGACTGATGAGGAGGAGGCCGAGCTTGATGATCTCGATGAAGACGAGAACAAGGACGTACGAATGACGGAGCACCGCTGGGACAAGCGAATCGAAAACGGTGCCGAGTTTGAGCCTATCGATGATGACGAGCTAGCCCGAGCCAATGGTGCGACTCGTCAATCTAGCAACAAGCGCACCTTTACCGACTTTAGCAAAGGTGGTGAAGAGGAGGCTACTGGAAATTCCGACGGAGCAATCAATGGCAAGAGCGCAGAGGCCAACGCTGAGGACAACCACGATACAAACGACGATACCATCGAGGAGATCGTCGCTACGGAGCAAGACAAGGAGCGCGTCGAGGAAACTACCGAGGAGACTGCCGACAAACAAACGATAGATGGAGATGGTGACGTCGGTATGGCCGACTCTGCTCCTATCGAAGAAGAGGCAAAGATCAAAGAGGAGGAGCCGGAGACGCAGAATGCTCCTGCTCCTGCAGCCGCTACCGCTGCTACCGGAGATGTGGAGAAATCAGCTGACGATTCAGCCTCGCAAGATAACGAAGGCCGCCCCCCAAAAGATCAAGAGAAACCGACTGGCGAAGAAAGCAAGTCTGAGAAGGTCGAGATCAAGGACAAAGAGGAGCAACCAGCGGATGCGATGGACATTGACGGAGACAAGGAAAAGGAAGCTGATTTGGCTACTTCCTCATCCTAGCCGGCCTTCCAAGCATTTTGTACATGCAGACAGCGGCGCTGTGATTCTATACCATTGGATTTATTGATATTATCAGCCTTCAATGGCTACTATGGCCATTTCAGTTGACTGGGGCCTACCAATGGCGGCGTTAGGGCGTTTGGCAGTGTATCAGCGTGCAGGACAGATGCACAAGCTGGTGCCATGTATCACAAAGTATGGTGCGCTTGAAAGAAATTGAATCATTATTAGTGCGTGTACTCTTCTAATATGAATATCATCTTACCTTTCCTTGTCCACTGAATAATGTGCTACTAGTTAGCAACGCCACGCCGATGACTGGCGCGTGGTGTGGCACTCTTATTAGAGTAGCTCCAAGTGGGGTTCGCCAAAGAAAAATGGTCGCCTTCTCCATCAGAATCGTCCCCAAACTTTTTTTCTTTGTCAATACTTCAGCGATTGTGCGCCTTTCAATCACTCGGCAGGTCCCTTGTCTCTTCCAACTCTGACAGCAATGTTGAGGTAGCACTTTGAAATACAGAGAGTCTTTTGCGCCGACTCTGCGGACTTTGCGCTCACCGGCAACGCCCCGACATTGAGTCACCCGCTACGGCATACAACCAGCCCACCATCCCACCAACCCTGCAGCCATGTCGCGGGCGGCGGGAGGCGACGCCGAAGCGGCGAAGCTGGCCGTCTGGAAGGAGGCGCTCTACGAGAAATGCAGAGATGCTGCGCCGGAAAATGACATGTTTTCGCAAGATGATCTTTTGCGGCTCGACGTCATCCCGAATAAGGACCTGATGCTGCTAGCACGTGTCGTACAGTCTCTGAGCGATGACAAGCTCTTCATCACCATGCGCGAGGCCTCAGGCCAAGTGCTGTGGAAATGGCGAGACGCCCAGGAAGCACACAAGTATGTCGGCAGAGCTGTCCTTTTGCTTGCAGAGGAGCGGGGTTGGGCATCTTTCAAACTGACCCGGTTTCGCACAGGTACAAGCAGTGTACGACCGACGAACAAGTATTGGTATACTCCCTTGTCGATGATGCCGGCGGCGATGGAATATGGTCGCAGACGCTGCAGAAGCGCCTCAACATGCACGACTCGGTCCTTAAGAATGCGCTCAAGCAGCTGCAGACCAAGGGCCTGATTGCACCCTTCAAAAACGTCGAGCATCCCAATAAAAAAATGTACATCAAGGCTTCGATCCGGCCCAGCGACCGCGCGACCGGCGGGCCGTGGTACACGGACCAAAACTTTGACGACGCCTTCATCGAGGAGCTGCAGCGCGTCGTCTTTGACTTTATCAAGCGCCAAAGCAGCTACCACAGCACCCACGCCGGGTCGTCGTCGTCGGCCCGGGCGCAGGCGCCGAAGAAGGGCGTGGTGCAGGGCGGACTGGAGCGCGGCAAGAAGCGCGACGCCCGGGAGATGAGCAAGCCGCCGTCCAAGGTGTCCAAGACGGCCGCCGGCGCCACGCCAAGAAAGGAGGCACTGCTCCCGCTGCCCGCCGGCTACACGGGCTATCCGTCGGTGCGAGACATTGCGCGGCTGCTGTCGAGCAGCGGCATCACCAACAACACCATCTTGTCCGAGGAGGACGTCCGAAAACTGATTGATGTGCTCGTCTGGGACAACCTCATAGAGCCGGTGCGCGTCGCGGGCAAGGTCGGCTACCGGGTCGCTAGAGTCGCCAGGCAGTCAACCGAGCCCTGGGCAGGCCGCGAGGACCCTACGGGGCCAGAGCCGTACACGAGCCCGTACACAGAAGCGCCGTGTGGCCGCTGCCCAGTCTTTGACATCTGCGAGGATGGTGGCCCCGTCGGGCCCAGCAACTGCGAGTACTTCAAGACGTGGCTGGGTCTCAGCGATCCATGAAGGGACTGATAAATATCTCCGTCGGTTCTCCAAAAAAACATATATTCTAAACCCAGGCTCGTGGTTGTACTCTTCCCAACGACGCGGACTAGCGCAGAAGCAGGACAGCGCCAGAAGAAAAGAAGCCTGAATAATGACAACCCATTGTCCTTGCTAGTTCTTACTAGTTGTTCTCAACTGGAACTCTTGTGGACTGAAGAAGCTGGCATTCACATGTCGCATCAAATGAAAGAATATGCATCAATGCCGGATAGTGCATCGTATGTAGTGCAGGTTGCTGATGTGGACCTAAACAGGCCGCAGCGCCCAGCGGCACATCGTATGACCGCTTTGGGCTAGTTGTACATAGATTACGAAGCATTTACATAATGAAGCAAAGATATCAGAATCGAGACTTTTGAGACACTTGTGATGCAGGCTGCGGTGTTGTGCATGTCACAGGCGCACGCCAATCATGGGCGCTGTCCTACATGCAATGCATGTCTGGCCTGCATGGCGGGGATGGGACGGTATTGGAGGTTCAAAGCTTTGGCGGGGTTCAGAACACAACCGGCGATATTGGCATAAACAAAGAATAGTCGCGTTTGCAAAAGTATACATCAACAATAATGACATCTCATGAGATGGACTTATATTATAGATAGCTGAAGACGCGTGTTGCGCTATTCCACAATGCATTTCGTGAGTTGTCAACATACCTCCTTTGCAAGTCCCAGTTGCACATTCTGCTTCTCCAGCTTCATTACTGTAGATATGTTTTAAAGATACACAGGCTCGAGGCCCATTATTTACAAAGCACCAGAGTCGATAATGGTGGGGCGCTTCTGGAACTTGATGGCGCCGGAGCCGGAACCAGTGGCCTCAAGAGCCTTGACAACATCCAGGGACTGCTGGTCAGCGACCTCGCCGAAGACGACGTGGCGGCCATTCAGCCATGAGGTGACGACAGTAGTGACGAAGAACTGGGAGCCGTTGCTGCGCCGTGATGTTAGATGCGCGCTAGGTGTTTAGAGGAGAGCCGCGGGGTTGCTTACGTGTTGGGGCCAGCGTTGGCCATGGACAGCAGACCAGGCTTGTCGTGCTTCAGTTGGAAGTTCTCATCAGCGAACTTATCGCCGTAGATGGACTTGCCTCCGGTGCCCTGTAACGAAACTGATGAGTATCACGAAGATTGGTTGTAAATCGAGGGACGGGTCGTACGTTGCCACGGGTGAAGTCGCCGCCCTGGAGCATGAACTCGGGGATGATGCGGTGGAAGGAGGAGCCCTTGTAACCGAAGCCCTTCTCGCCGGTGCAGAGGGCACGGAAGTTTCCGGCAGTCTTTGGGACAACATCGTCAAAGAGGTTGAAGTTGATGCGGCCCTTCTGAACTGTATAGAGAATGTTGATCAGCGGAGCTGCGCATTAGCACGCGCGGCGGAGGCAAGTCGCATCAAGCAGAATGCTACAACTCAATGCCGTCGAGGACACTGTATATTGTCGAGCAGGCGCTAGATGTAAATTGGCCCGAAAAGTACAAGAAAAACTCACCCTTAACGGTGGAGGTAGGCTTGCCATCCTTAAATTCGGGGCCCTCCCACTCGACATCGAAGAAACTAGAATTGCCGTGTAAGTAGGATATACTCATCGACCAATCAGGACGAGACAGAGCTTGTCAAAGACTTACACCTTGGAATTACCCATTGCTGTGGTTGCTGAAAAGAAACGAGGCTTGTGGAAAGATTTGGAAGAAGAGACAAGCTGTGGAAGAGTGAAAGGTCTGGGAGCAGCAGAGCAAAAGGCTCGGCGGGGTAGTAGGAGGGGTTGGAAAAGAGCTGATCTCATTCTGCCTGTTCTGGAGGGGTAAAACAATTAGCGGGATATTCCTGCCAATTAGCGCAACGTTTTGGGTAAAACAGGCAGGACTGTTAGGGGTACGTCAGTCACGTGTAGACGTCGCCCTGGAAGCCGCCTGGCTGCCCCTGGAAGCACCCCACGGTTGCCCGAGCTTGACAGGGCGCCAGCTCTAGGAAATGGAGAGCTAGTCTCGTTGCCCCGGCCTCCGGTCAACAGCTGGCGCCAACGCTCTCATCAGCTCAGCAAACCGCATCAGTCCTTGGTCGAGTGCCGAACAATGCTCCGAGGTGAGCAGCTGCGTCGCCACACGGCTGGCGCTATTGTCGTCATGTCTGGCGACAGCTCGTTTTTCTGCCCTCCACGCCATATTTTGCTTGCGGCATTGGCGAGACTTTTGATCAGAGTCCACTGGCGTGCAGGAGGCGGAGGCGGTGGCATGAGCTTATTGGAGGGCCCCAGAGCCGCTGGCAAACTAACCGTGCGGTTGCCATGGCGTGCGACCTATCAGCCTGGACTGCTGTTTTGCATGCCCTCGGAGCCAGCTTTGCTTGGAGGAGAGCTGTGCTGTTCGCTTTGGCAGTGGCGCAGCCCAGGCCAGCCAGTTGCTAAGGTGCAAGAGCCGATTGCTTCCGATGCGACAACGCTGTCTGAGGCTGTGATGAGAAAAGAGAGCCTCAGAGCAGCTGGATGAAGGCGGCGAGTACTCCGTTGGCGTCCTCGTATCTTCCCTTTTGCCAAATTGGCAGATGATAGATCGTGATGAAATGAAATGCCACGTACCTGTGAAGCCGGATTGAAAATTATTGTACAAGGTGCGATGGTGAGAATTGATGGCAAAAGTCAGGGGCAAGGTTGTATCTTTTAGAGGGAAAAACTTTTGGTGAGGCCGGCCCAGCAGCGCCAGAGCCATTCCGGCCTAAGGTTTCAGGTATCTTCTGCCACCAAAAAGTAGACTGCCAAAAGCAACGACAGTCAGCATCACCTATATCACGCGAAATTCTGCAGATACCGATGTGGATTCATAGAGAATATAAGATATAAATTACTTTTCATTCAGATTCGCATCTCCCACTTTATCAATACACCTCCAATTGACGTGCAGATATTCTGGGTTAAAGGTATATCACGTGACTCACCATCGTGGGCAAGGCACGTCACCGTGTCCAGATCATGGAGACTACGGCCTCCTGGAGCCATAGTCAAGGTGCGCATAGATGCTGGATTCCCTAGCCATTGGCAAGACCTAAAGTGCCCGTGAATCGACCGGACCAGACCATTTCATCACAAGGTTCCGGAGACAGCCTCTTCAAGATGGATTTTAACGATCTCAAGAGCACTGTGTCGAACCTGACCTTGTATGATATCAAGGCCGGGTTCCGCAAGGCTCAAAATGGTATGTGGCAGACCGAGGTGCCTGTCAGGTACCCCTGCTAACCCAGAATCAGCTGTCATGAACTATACAGAGATGGAGGCCAAGGTTTGTAATGCGACCAGCCTCGCAGGCCAAAACTAATACCCTCAAAGGTCCGAGAGGCGACAAATAACGAACCGTGGGGTGCCTCGTCCACAACGATGCAAGAAATCGCCAACGGTACTTTCAGCTAGTAAGCAGTATCGCTGTAACTAGTTGTGACATTTATCTGACTGCGCATAGCCAAACACTCAACGAGATTATGCCCATGATTTACCGCCGCTTCACTGAAAAGTCGGCCGAGGATTGGCGCCAGATCTATAAGGCTCTGCAGCTGCTAGAGTTCTTGATCAAGCACGGTTCTGAGAGGGTTGTTGATGATGCCCGAGGTCACATTACCCTACTGAAGATGCTGCGCCAGTTCCACTTCATCGACCAAAACGGCAAAGATCAGGGCATCAATGTACGAAACCGAGCCAAGGAACTCGCCGAGCTTTTAGGCGATGTTGAACGGATCAGAGCCGAGCGTAAGAAGTCTCGTGCCACCAAGAACAAATATACTGGCGTGGAAGGCGGCACGTCGTTTGGCGGGGGTTTCTCTGGCAGCAGTCGCTACGGCGGTTTCGGCCCCGAATCTTCAGGAGGTGGCCCTACTTCATATGGCGGATACTCCGGCGGTGTGTACGGCGACGGCGGTGGTTTCGGTGGTCAGTCCAGTGACTACCAAGAAGGCGGCACTGCCGGCCGATCAGACAGATTCGAAGAATATGACGAGTTTGATGAGGGCGACAGACCCGCGGCCAGCTCGACAAGAAGAGCCAGGACCGAGCGTGCGGGAACAAAGAAGACAACCCCCGAGGCTGCCAAGCCCAAGGAGCCTGAAGTTGATCTGTTCTCTTTCGACGAACCCGCGACTACCTCGAGCGCACCAGCTCCCGCCGCCGGCTCGGGACTTGCAGATCTCGCTGGCCCTAGTAGTGCACCCGCTGCCGCTAATAACGACGATGATGAGTTCGACGACTTCCAGTCTGCTGCGCCCTCGACACAGCCCTCTGCTGCCCCGACCGCTTTTGGCCAGCCACTGGCCCCTCCCGCAGCCGCGCCCACACAGGCTTCGTCTTCCCAAGCATTCGCCGCTCTGTCGCCATCGGCAAGCACATCGGCTGCCCCTGGCGTCAACTACAATGCGTTTTCTGCACCTACACAAACGGCCAAACCTGCGGCCCCCGCTGGCTTCCAGCAAGCAGGACCCAATTACTTCAGCGGCATCCAGTCTCAGGCAAGCACCCAAGTCAGCACACCCACGATCCCTACAACAGCAAGCTCTGGACCTACGACCATGGCCAACACGCGACCCGTTCAGGGCAACAGCAAACCAGCGACTCCGGCGGCCGGGGGTGATGCCTTTGGGGCTCTGTGGGGCAAGGCCAGTGCCGGGATCAAGAAGACAAGCACGCCGACATCCGGCCCTGCCCTGGGCCAATTGGCCAAGGAAAAGAGCAGCGCCAACATCTGGGGCTCCTCTGCGTCTAACTCTCAAACGACGGGTGGCCCTGGATATGGAAACGGTGGTGGCTCAGCTTCCGGCGACCTGCTTGGCTGAATCAGGACTGTGCAAGCCTCTCTATAATACACGAGCAAACAGAGCAGCTTTGAACCAATGGACAGAGTGGGGCTGGCGAACAATTGGAGCTGAAGCAGGGTTACACATATTTATCTTGGTAGAGTTAAGGCAAGCATCTTTTGTTTTCCAAAATAGGCTGTTCTTCGATTGGCGTACCTGGTGCTACTATAATTAATCGACCCGTCAACTCGGCGGACATGTCCAACTGCCGTCGCGAACAAGGTACCTGCAGCCAAGCAAGTCTGGACCTGACGATCCGGACGCTAAAAGATCCAGATCCGGGCACGCAGGATGCCTCTCATCTCGCCCACTATGTGGCCTTTTGATCCATCGATCGCAAACATGGTGGCGTGCCGTAGCGCTTGCTTGTTATGATGGCAGTCTGTAGCACTGTAGCACCGTGACCCTCACCTTTTTTTTTTTTTTTTTTTTCGCATGCACGCTTCTCATAAAAATAGCACATTGAGGCTCAATGACTGGAGCCGATGCCGTGGCGTCAGCCTACCACCATCGCATTTGTTGCGCATCCCTGATGTTGATGATGGGACGTTGGGCGCTTAGATGGGGTGGTGGGCTGTCATTGGCTGGCGTCGGCGGCTGGCGATACTAGTGGACCGTCTCAAGTTGCGAGTCGTGTCAACCACTTGAGAGCGGACGGCCCTAGCGGATCGGACATGGAAAAAAACAAAAATATCTCTGTGTTTCGATGAAGCATGTTTACAGCCAAGGTGAGTTGTTTGGTAGGGATTGCAGAGGTGTGCATGTCTGCGAAAGGGCGTGACTGTAGTTGGCGGCGCGGAGGGCTGTGCCTCTCAAGGTGTGTCAGAGCAACACAGAGTCGAGTTGTATAAAGATTGGCAGAGTTCCCTCTTCTAGGGTTTGCTCTTCTTTGCTTCGATAGACAATCTTCCATCAATCAGTTTTCGAGACATTTCCTTTTTGTTTTTCCCTTTTTAGTCTCTTTCCTTGAGTCTTTGCTTTTAGTCTTGTCTTGCATCACGCTCTGCACTTACACGGCACCCAGTCCCCCCCCCAAAAAACTCGCCCTTACTCCAAGAGACCGGCTCTTTTGCATTCACTCTAAAAAGCTTTGTTCAATTCTTTTTTTTTTTTTCCTTCTCTTCTCCCATTCTTCACTCTTTTTCTCAGCCCGTCAATTGGGTTCGAGAAGGCAGCTTACTTTCGCCAAAATTCTTCCCACGAACAGGCCACCACCTGCTCAGATCCCATTCTACGCCAAGCATCTCCCGCTTCGCACCGCCAATTGCACCACGCGACCCCGGCTCTCACTTTGCACGCCGAGATCCTTTTCCACCATGGCGGCACCTCCAGCTCTCGGGGCTTTGGGCCTTACCTTTACCGTGATGCGCGCCATGCAATTCATCGGGCTCGTCATCATCATTGGCCTGAGTTCGAGTTTCGTGTCCGATATTGTGGTGTCGTCTTACGCGGTACCACCCGCCCTCATCGGCACCCTCGCTATTGTAAGTGAGAGGATCAGGGCAAAGTACATGTATATCGCAAAACTAATTCAAGGAAAAAAAAAATTACAGGCCTGTCTTGCTGAAGTCTACGTCATCATCAGCTACATTCTCTACTGGGACTCGCTTCTCCCACTGCTCATTGCGACGGCCGCCGATTCTCTGTGCCTCATTGCCGGCATCGTCGTCGCCTGCGTCGTGGGCAAGCCCGTCAGCTACCTCAACTGCAACGCGTTCCCCGACAAGGGCAACACGGCCGTCTTCCTCAGCTCGCTTTTTGCCAACGTCAAGCGGCTCGAGGGCAACACGTTTGAGTGGGTGGCGCCCAGCAAGTCCTCGTGCCTGCAGCTCAAGTCCATCTGGGGCATCAGCGTCGCGCTATGCGTGCTCTTTGTCCTGTCGACGGCGACGACGGCGTGCCTGTGGCGCCGCCTCAAGTCCCCGCCTCCGCCCAAGGATTTCGATTGAAGGTGCGGCGGCGGGAGGCCGGCGGAGGCGGGAAGGGGTGGAGGGAATGCTGATGCGGGACGAGGAGGGGGAGGAGGAGGAACGGCATGGGCGAGGGTGCGGCCGCCTGTTGCTGCGGCGCGGCGGCCGCAGGTCAGGAGCCTGGGGACGACGGCCATGGCGCAGACGGCCAAGTTCGATGACAGTGACTCGGCAGACGACCTTGGCATTGTAAACGTGCCCATGCCGCTGTCGCATCGCGAGCCCTTCTCCTACCCTGATAACCACCGCCACCGCTGCCCCGTCATTCCGCCAGCAGCAGCAGGGGTGATGAAGAGAGCAAAGTCGTTGAAGGCAAAACGTGCCATTCGGCCACTCGCGTCGCTCCCCCCGGTACCCCCCGTGCCTGTGCTAGCGACAACAGGTATCAGTGCTTCTCCCGTCGCGCCGCCAAAGATGATGGAGGCGACCGTCGTCGCTCTGCCCGCCAGAACGAGGTCGCGACCCAAGACGCTACTAAAGCGCATCGAAGGATGGTGGGATTTGGGCCTTTTGGATAAGAGGCAGACATTGTTTCGAAGCCAGAGCAGAGGAATGGCGGAACAACAAAAAGTGTAGGAAAGAAGGGCTCTGGCAAGCAAGTCACTCTTTGCATCAACAACGGTCAATGGGTGCGGACTCGTTCACTGCCAGAGTTTACTACAGCACTACTGCAGTTGGGTGGCATTGCAGAGATAAAATTGGGTTTGCTTGTTACCTTGTGTGTGTGATTTGGGTTAGTTGTCATTTGCTTTTGAATGCGTCTTGTTGGATTGTTACGTGTATTTTGTTGACTCTTGAGGGGCGAGATCCTAATGAAAGTTTGCCTGGCATAAACTGGGCAGACTTATTGATCAAAGCCGCAAACGAATAAATGAATTTTGAATCTTACCTACTCTTCTCACCCTGTTCTTGTAAACGGTGGCCGGAAGGAAAGTTGGCATGGTCTCGGCCCGTTGCTGTCAGCCTTGTTTTAGCTGCCGTCGATTCGATTCGGTCATCATTTATTATTATAGATCGGCGGGCGCCCTTGTTCTGGTCACAACGTCGTACTCAGTCCCGCGAATCGATTATTTGCGGTCCATCTTTGCAAATCAATTTCTCACCATCAGCCTCGTTCTTGATCGCCGGACTCAAACAAACGCCTTGCACCGACTCGAGACTCGCCGAGTGAGGCGAACACAGGAGAGGGTTGTCGATGAACTGATGAGATTGCCGCTCCTTGCTCCTTTTGCCTGCAGGCAGCGGCCCACCAAGTAAGCCCGTCAGCACCAGCGGCGATGCGTTTCGGCGCATCTGCCGAGGCTGGTTAGAGGGATGAAGAAGTTGACAGGACTGAAATGGGGATCTTGCAGCTAAATATGCCTTGCCCCCAATGCCCCCCCACCCGGACTCGCATTTCCACTGTAGATTGCATCTCGCCACCCTCCGCCAAACTCCACTGAGATTTCCACTGGGGCGCGCCCTGAAGCCCCCCCAGCTTCTTCTTGAGCTTGTCGCGCGATAAATGATATAGCTTGCCTTTTCCTGTCGCACACGAGCCGCTCATCAGCAATTGTCTTCTACGCTCTGATTGCTATCGTATTTTACGCATAGCCAGAGACTGGCGCTTTGAAAAGCCCTTACTGCCTCTGTTCGCCCCTCTTTCAACATCTACAGACCATGTCTGCCATCAGGAACCTGTTATCGGGCAAGGTGCGCTCGCAGTCGGGCTGCTATACCTGCCGGCTGCGGCGCAAGAAGTGCGACGAGAAGCGCCCCGTGTGTGACGGCTGCGCGGCCCTCGAGATCACCTGCTTTTACGGCGAGCAAAAGCCCGACTGGATGGACGGCGGCCCCAAGCAGCGTGCCATGGCCGAGACGATCAAAGCACAGGTCAAGAAGCAGGCCGGTCAGCGTCGCGATCGCAAGTACCTTGAGATGCTCGAAAATGGCACCCGCATGGTCAATCTCAACGATGAGCCTGCACACGGCCACTCGAGCGACACGGCCGTCTTCTCGTCCGAGAGTGATCGCGCCTTGGAAACGTCGCCCAGTGCCATCAGCGCCGCCACCACCGGCCCATCGCCCGACATGCCCTGGCACCACCAGCTCATGGGTTCTGGCGGCTCACAGAAGAGCAACTACGACTCGGCGCAGGATACGCATCTGATCATGAACTACGTCGATTTTGTCTTTCCCTACCTGTTTCCCCACTATCAGCCACCGATCCTCGTCGGCGGTCGCGGCTGGGTTCTCGACGCTTTCCTCCACGGCAGCCGATCCATCTACTACACAGCCATTTCGTTGTCATCATGGTTCTTTGGCGTCCTCCTCGCGGGCGGCGAGGAGGAGCACGCGGGCTGCACCGATAGGATGGCCCAGCAGCTGCACTGCCAGATGGGTATCGGCCTCCAGGAGCTGCAGAAGAACATTTACGCCATCAGCGCCAAACGGGACAACTTTGACATTCGCGAGGGTCTCTCCGTGATGCAAAGCGTGATCCAGATGCTCATCTTTGAAGTCACGACCGCCAATAAGGAAAATTGGAAAATGCACCTCGACGCTGCCATTGCGCTGTTTGTCAAGATTCTGCCACAGCCCGAACAGTGGACGGAGAAGCTAAACGGGTTGTGGACACCGAAATGGCCGCCTCCAGAGATGGGTATCCGGCGTCCGTGGAGCACCGACCAGGCCGCGCTGCGGTTCTTTGGTGCTAACCTGCTCTACATTGATGTCATGTCGAGCATCACCATGTCGAAACGCCCCCGTCTGGCTGGCTATCACGAGGCCGTCATTCCTACCTGCCCCAAGAACAAGCTCTCCACGGAGCCGCAGTCGGCCGGTCCGCTGCTGATGGAAGAGTTTATCGGCCTGCAAAACTACGTCGTCGGGACGTTGGGCGACATCGCCGCGCTGGACGCGTACAAGAAGGAGCAGCAGCAGGCAGGCACCCTATCCATGGCGGATCTCGCCTCGCGCGGAGACATCCTGTTCCAGGTAATCAAAGCCGGCATCCGTCACCTGGACAACCAGGGCTATTCGCAAACGCCCGTGGAGCGCGCCGTCTCGTTGATCCGCGACCCGTTGTCGAGCCTGAACCCGGCATCCGCCGCGGCCAAGCCCAACTTTATCATCCAGAACCTCGTCTGGCTACACGCCGCCTTCCTCTACCTCGGCACGGTCGTCTCGGGGTACCAGCCGCTGGATCCAGACGTGCGGCGGTCGGTGGACAAGGTGACGGAGCGGCTGCTGGGGGACCTGCCAGACGGCAAGACAATGCAGTCCATGGCGTTTCCTTTCTGCGTGGCCGGCTGCCTGGCGCCGCCCGAGTACCACGAAAAGTACAGGGGCCTAGTCAGCCGCCTAGGGCCGCTGCAGGTCTTTGGCACCATCCAAGAGGCCAAGAGCATCATGGAGACGGCCTGGGCAAATAGCGCGGCGGCGGCGGCGACGGCGGCAGCGGCGGACGAGAGCTGGGATATTGCCAAGTGCTTGAACAGTCTTGGCCACGGCGCGCTGCTTATTTGATAAGATTTCAACTAGTATGCAATGTGTCATTAGGGCGATGTCGACATGATGCGATGTCAGTGCTATTAGAGTGTGGCGTTATAGGCGCATGCTGTTTTTTTTCCTTGTGTCTAACGTGTCTTTTTTGAGGCTGCTTGGCTGTACAAATAATCAGAAGTACATTAGGTGAGGACCCTTGTAAGTTGTGGGTAGGATATTGGCGAGGTAACACGGTGGTCGCCACACATAATGCGGCTTTCATTTCTGTTTTGATTGTGCTGCCACCATGACGAAATGTCCCGAAAGACAAATAATTGAAAAGGCTAAATCGTCTGCCTGATGAAGCTTGGAATACAAAGTAAACAATATCCATGTCTCGAGATCCGCTGCAGTCGTGACAGCTGGCGCTGTGGATGCACAATGGCAGCCTCGCGGGCGAACTAAGGTAGCTAGTTTTTTAAGGTTTTACTGGGGCCGTCTCACATCATTGATGTGCTTCGTCGGGGTTGATGCGACGATCCGTGTCGCAGACAACTCGGTCAACTAGTGAACGGGAACAAGAGCTTTCATGTTTCGCCAGGTTGTAACTGCACTGGTAATTAACTTCTTGTTGGTCCTTTTTTTTTTTTTTTTTTCTTTATCCTTGTCGCGCTCTGTTCGCCGTTTCCGCGCGCTCGTGCAAGTATTTAGCAAGCAGCAGGCGGCCAAGAAAAAAGGGAGGCTTGCATTTCGCATCTGCTCCCGTTCGCTAGTTTGTCAGCCACGTCTGATCTCGTCCACTTATCTAGCGGGAAACCTGCTCAATCCTGCGCTCGTGGTGTGACACCGTGAACCATTTATGTTCTAGCCCGGGAAAATCTACCCACAAGGGTTTTTTTCTTAAGTGCTGTTTCTTCACTGTCACGACTTGTGACAATTAAATGTTAAAGGCGCGCTAAATAGACGGCTGGGTGACTTTCCAGGTGCCTGCCTGCCTGTCTGCCTGCTCAGACCCTGCCGCCCACTTGCTTGTACAAGGGTAAACGCGGGACCTACAGAAAAGTAATAAAACACGGAGAAACATGCGATCAATTTGCGCAGGCGTTGGCATTTGAGGGGTTGTGAGCAGGTTTTTTTTCTGAGGCAAGGCTAGGCCGAGGGTCCCTTGTCTACCTGGGTACCTAGGAAAGCTGCGAGTTGGCGATAAAGTTCCTGACCTTCCCACCTCGACCGTTTCCCAAAAGTCTCTGCCTTTTTTTTACACTTTGTAGGCTGAAAAAAAAAACAAGCAACCTACACCTCGGCATTATTTTCTGCTTTCGTCTAGATCTTCCCCTCGAGTCTTCCTCAACCGCAGAGTTCTCTGTACAAACCTAGAAAACTTACCAGCTTACCGACGAACTGCTTACTCTACATACCACATCAAGATGGATCACAGCGGAATGGACCACGGCGGCATGGATCACGGCGGCATGGACATGGGCGGCAGCGGCGACCGACAGTGCCAGATTAGCGTAAGCTCCTCTCACGACGCCCATCTCGAGACAAAGACTGAAGACGGCGAGAAACTAACTAATGGACCCTTGTTCTTCTCTAGATGCTCTTCAATGCAAACACCATCGGCAGCTGCTTCTTCAGCGAGAAGTTTTACATTGCGACCAACGGCCAGTTTGCCGGCGCCTGCATTCTCGCTCTCGTCCTCGTCATCTCCCTCGAGGCTCTCCGCCGCGCCACCCGCGAGTTTGACCGCTTCATCACCGGCCAGCACATTACCAAGTTCCGCGCCCAAAACGGCGGCGCCGCGGCCTCGCGCAAGGACAGCTCCGAGGGCGTCGTCGCCCCCTGTGCCCCGATCCCGCCTTTCCGTCCGAGCTTGGTGCAGCAGGCCACCCGCGCCTTTCTGCACATGCTCCAGTTTGGAGTCGCCTACATTGTCATGCTGTGAGTTGTCCCTTGTCTCTCTGGCGGGCCAAACCCCCGTATGCGAAGCCAGATTTTGCTAACCAAGAATTGTCAAACGGCAGGTTCGCCATGTACTACAATGGCTACATTCTACTCTGCATCGTCCTCGGCGCATTCATTGGCTACATGGCCTTCAACTGGGAGCCAATTGCCGTGTCGTAAGTGTAACCCTTTGATACTCACATACGCTACTTGTATTAACATGGTGGTAGGGATGAACCAAGCGGCACCAAGGAGGCTACTGTTTGCTGCGGTTAAGCAAATAGCAAGCAGAAAGTTTGTGGATCGTGGTAATGGTTATAATAAGCTATTTACTTATTATATAATAATTATTAGCTAAGGGTATTTTATTATACCTTAATAACCTAATCTATAAGCTATATCTTTTCTTAGTATTATACTTAAAGTAGTAATTAATAAGGTACTTCTTTACCTCTTTTTAGTTATAACTATATATAAAATACTTTATTTCCTCTATAATATACTATATAGTAACTTTTCGTAGTTCCTTAACTTAGTAGGTATTTACATGGTTACAATGGTTTTAATGGATCAAGATTCGTTTAGCGATTCCCTTGGAGCAAATGCAATAATTTGGAGATAATACAGTCCCTTATTCAACATGGCACATGCCCAGCCATTTCCGCCCCTTAACGCGGGCTTTTCCACTCTACAGCTCATCGGCATGGGCGGTACGGCTCTCGCCAGCCGACGTCGCAGCCAGGTCTTGCGCCGGCTCCGTCTTTTTCGCCTGCAGCTCCAGCGCAAACAGCTCTCTCGGGCTGCCATCCGCGCCGCAGCTAGCAAAGCGCCACCAGTTTCCGTAATACGTGCCGACGACGTTGGTCAGGATCCAGCGAATCGGGCCCGGCATCGGCGGCCAGTGCGCCCACCGGCCACCCTCAAACGTGCGATCGAGGTTGAGGAAGAAGAAGGGCACCACGTCCAGCAGGCCGGCCTTTGTGACCGTCTTCTTGCCCCACGTCTTGAAGACGAGCGCGGCGGCGGCGGCTTCCTCGCTGCCCTCGGCGGGGGCCTGGGGATGCGCGGCGAGCGCGGCAATCGTCTGGACCTCGCTGTGGAGATGGTCGCCCAACGGCGCGCGAAACGAGTCCATGATGCGGAGCAGCTCGTCGGCCGAGAGGAGCTTGGATGAAGACGTTGACAGGTCTTTGAGGTAGGTCTGGAACTGCACGACGCCGTCGATAAAGGCCTCGTGCTCCTTGTGTGTCTCCGCCCAGACGGTCTTGTCGTCGAGCAGGTCGGACACTTTACCAAAGAGATTGTCTTCTTCATCGTGGTGATGAGAGGTGACAAACGAGGCCCATGTCAGCGAGTACTGGATAAAATCGTGCGAGAGCTGCTCGTCAATGTAGGGGGCTTGCTGGTAGATGGAGTTGAAGCCGCGGATCAAGGCATTGTGGACGAGAGCCATGTGCGTGGCGCCGGCCGTAAAGAGATCAGTCTAGAGACCGTCAAGTTTTCAGGTGAGACTTGTTTTTTTTTTTTTTTTCACACCATGATGGCCAGAATGTAGACGGCCGTTCATACCTTTTCTGTGAGGTGCTGCGGCGTGGCCACGAGCGGGATTGGCGCGTCTGCCCATTGCGACGCCGGGGCCGAGGTCGTGGTCATGTATGGCGAGTAGTTGAAGAAGCTCGTGGTCGCGAGACATGCTGTCCCAAACGCAAGAGTGCCAATAATGGACATGTTGGACGAGCTTATAAGTAAAGTAATTCGAAAAGGCGGCGCTGCTGATATTGATGCCCTTGAAAATGGCCAGGATTGACAAGGAGTGGCCTGTTTCAGTAGTTCCGTCACCCCATTGTCAGTCATCAATCACACCAGCTAAATCGCCTGTTGAGCCGAGGCGGGATGCTTAGATTACAGCGCCCCCCGATTGGCCGGTTTCAGGTGGTTCCATCCCGCTGAGGTGCTGGAAGGTGCAATTACGCGGCCGAAAGGCGGCCTGCTGCGCCAGTGGAAGTATGCTCGGATTTTCCAAAATTGTTCATCCATTTTTTTTTTTTTTTGTTTTTAGCTATTTTATTATGTTTCTAAGGCTTTTAAAAGACTCACTGAGTAGACATTGCAGCCGCCACCTGATGCCGAATTTCAAGAGCAGTTCAGAAAGCGCTGCCACGAGAATGCAGAGGCTGTTTCTAAAAGGAAAGGCCTGGCCGACTAGCAAGGTGGTGAAGAGTTTGTTCAAGGCAAGATATCATGGCTGCAGCAAATATTCAGAGAGTAAAGTTGCTGGCCGCCTAAGCATCTTGCTGGAACGGTGACTTTGTCCACCAGCAGATTATTCCAAGTCTTTGGATCGGTCAGCATGTTTGGGGGAGAAAAAACTCAAACTACCATGGTTTCAGTTCAATATACTTTAAGTTCTAATTACAGCCGCCAAAAGGCGGCTTCAGCTCCGGCGTCTCGATATCATTCAACTTGGCCAACCACAGCGGCGCGTCTTCAAGCTATTATTGCTCTTTGTCGCAGTCTGACAATAATTTCGTGCAAGTGTGAAACCATTGCGAGAGCTGAAAAAAAAAACGGGCAGCGGGCGTCATGACGGACGCTGTCTAGAACTTGTTTGGAGTTGCTGGATAGTAGGGGAGCTTGCTGGTCTGCGAGACGCGCGCGACTTAGTAGAGTGGCCATTGTAGAGACGTACTTTGTTTGAAGATGCACAACAACAGTACAGAACAGTGGGTGGGTAAAAATGACCTCCATGTCGCGGACGAAATAGAACGAAGAGCCAAAACCAGACCCTTTATAAACGCGCCTTGTACGTAGCGTCCAGAAGTGTGTTCCTAGCTATAGACCTGAGTTTGGCTTCTTGTCTTCGCATGCTTTTGTATCACACTTCTTTGGCAGGGATGTACAGTACCTACCCTAGAACGAAGCAGATAATTGGCTACCATCATCGCAAGGGGGCCAGAAACAGTTTCCTGAATATACAAAACTCGAATGCGTCATAAACGGGTTGCTGCCGGGATATGTGGTCGGCGATGTCCTCACTATCCGATCCAACGTCGAGAAGCGCAATGCGATGCTTTCCGCCGGGCTTGTAAGGGTGCCTCTATAGATAGGCGAATGACGATAGAGGCTTCTAAGGCTGTCTCAAGTGTGACTTGATTTCAGCGACGAGGTGTGACCTGCACGCCTAAACAACCACAGAGAGGGCAACGTGCTCGAGGGTGCAACACTAAAGCATCAGCATGTGAATGGATTGCGAAGCATACGAGAAGGAACCATGCATGTGCAGTTCGTCATTCATCCCAAATTCACAGTATGATACGTAGCAATATCTCCTAAGCTGGTCACGACACAGGCCTCTAGCGACGCGAATACATCAACAGATCGAAACAAAGCTCGAGGTCCATGATCGACTCTTGGCAGCTTGGCTGATCCAAGAGCTCCAGATGCGCACCGACGACTTCAACCACAACATCCCGTAAGGCACGATCCTCATCTATTGTTGACGTGTAGACCTCTCGGATAGCGTGTAAGAAATCATCACTCTGCCAATGATGCTTCGCTTCTATGTGGAACTTGCGCAAGGCAAATCCTTTGAGGTCATGAATGCCGTATTTCTCCCCTAATGCATAGACCTTGGCATGTAGATAGAGGTTTGGAGTCGCCGACACCGAGTCAGAGCTTTGGGCATGCGTTTGAGCGAGATCACGGTCCCGCCTCTCCCTTTCCGTCATCCTCTTTAACCTGATCTTTTCTTTCCTGGAGAGTATCACGCTGGCGGAATTTGCTGTAAACACTGTCTGTGCGGATTCATTAGGCTGGTATGCGCTTTGAAACGTGGATAGGGACGGCGTTGCTGTTTCGTTTGTGTCTACGGCTGATGGAACCACCGTAGGATAGTCTAGATGATAAAAGTAGTGTATCATCATCTTGATTGCTAGGGGATCATCCTCAGAGAGGTGGACGACGCCAGACTCGCCCTCCTGAAGTTGCACTCGAGGTCAGCATTGTTAGGGTCTGGCATGATAGTTATACCTGGAATGGGCCATTGCAGGCGCTGGCGAAGAACTCCGAGCGTGGGCAAACGATGGCCTTATGCACCCTGTAACGATCATCGCCGCACACGATGGTCAAATCCGAATATGCGCCCTCATCAAAGAGTCTGTGAGCATTAGGGAGCGCCTCAGCGACGATGGGTGATGACGGACTGTTTTAAACCGCGCAAAAGAGCGCTGTGTGGCTCTTGGGTCTCGTCCAGAGCCATGCCTGAATGCGGGGAAGGTAAGAAGCATGATCTCCGGATGGGGCCAAGGCTTTTAGATGGTCAATGTCCGGCAAGGATCAAGTATGTCCCGCCGCGATCGACATCTATGCCATCAACACTTGAGGTAATGGCGCTCATTCTACAACAAGTGAAACACTGTGTTCTCTATTGATGAGCTGTTACTTCTAGGAGCAGGGAAATTGCTGCGATCATGTTTCCTCAATCGATGTCTTGTCCCCGGGAATAACCTGATACTATCTATTTGTTTGAAAGCTCCTTGCCATGTTCCTGGGAGTTAAATATTGCTGTTTACTTGTTTGATGGCCTATGTGTTGTTCCCAGGAATTAGAGGGCTGCATTCGTCATAAGGCAAGCAGTAACTGCAACAGGTACAAAACTTGTTCAAAATCGCAACAGATTGGCCAGTGTTATAAAGCCTTGAATCTTGTTGCATTAGAGCCGGACTTCTTTTCAACTGCTCAATAGCGCCCGCAAACGACATCCATCTCAGGTGAGTAGATAAGCTGCAGCCACCCCGCGAACGCGGGGAAAGATCGGCGCCCAACCGAGCAAAGCGGCGGCAAACTAATAAGCCAAAGAAAACCCCCCACGTAACATTCAATTCACGGTGAGGGATACTTGGATACTTTTTTTTTTTACTCCTCTTGTTCCTCTAGTCTCGACAATTACAAGCCCAGAGTCAAGCAGTCTGGCCGCAGCAGCAATGGCGAACCTGAATGAGCTGGTGGCCGCGGTGGACGAGCCTTTGAATGCGGAGAAGCAGTCCAAGGCGGAACGGGCCTTTGTCGCGCGTCTCGATGTTTTCCTCCTCACGTTTGGATGCATTTCTCAAGGTACAGAAAGCCTCCTAGATGTGCTGCTCTTGAGCTTCAGTCTAACATCACCGGTTCCCTAGTCATCAAGTATTGCCTCTCTCTCACTCTCTCTGGTTTCGGAGCGCCCGAAAACGTCGTCCCCCATGATTGACATATGGGCACGCTAGGTATCTCGACCAGTCCAATATCAATAATGCCTACGTATCGGGCATGAAGGAAGATTTACATCTCGAAGGAAACGAGTTGAATTTGTACGTTTGACACATGTCCTGTTTTGTTCCTGTCCATGACAATGACATGGCTCGCCCCGCAAAGAACGCTGGCTAACACACAGTACCTTTTTCCCTTTTGCAGATTTACGACATATTTCAACGTTGCGTACTGCATCATGTTGATTCCCTCGCAAATCATCATGACACATGTCCGCCCCAGCTGGTGGCTTCCTTCTGTCGAAATCGTCTGGGGCATCATTACCGGTCTGTTTGCCCTGACCCGCAGCGCAAAGCAAGTCTATGTGCTGCGAGCCTTTCTCGGTCTCTGCGAAAGCGCTGCGTACCCTGGCATGATTACTCTATTCAGTAAGTCCAAAAAAAAAAGCAGGTACGACGTAAAATATTCACGCATGGATGCTGAACAAGAGTTTTTGAAAATAGTGTCTTGGTATACGCCGACGGAAATGGCCAAGCGCATCGGCTTCTACCACTCCTGTCAATCCGTGGGACAGATGCTCTCTGGCGCGCTGCAAGCTGCCATCATCAACAGCTTGAGCGGCAAGTCTGGCCTCGCCGGATGGAGGTGCGCCAATCTACTACTTCTCTTCTTCTTTTCCTTCTTGTCCTTCTTGTTCTTCTTCTTTTGCCCGAGTTTCTTTATACTTATTCAATACGTATCGTAGGTGGCTCTTTGTCGTCAACGCCATCATCACCGTATTCTGGGGCTTTGCTGGCTACTTTATGATTCCAGACATGCCAAACAAGCCAAACCCGTGGTCATTCTGGTTCAAAAGAGTTCACTCGGAGCTGGCTCTCGGCCGCCTGGCTCGTACAAATCGGATCGACGCCAAGCCCATTTCCTGGTCCGGAGCGAGGTTCGTCCACCTATTTCTGTTCCTTGAGCTTATTCACAACTGGAAGCGTCTCTGACAGGAGTCGTTTTCTTCAACAGACGCACCTTTACAAGTTGGTTGGTATATGTGATTGCCGTCTTGTATATTGCAATGGTGCTCGGCACGTCTGGTGCTGATTACTTTGGCTTGTTCCTCAAATCTGTGCACACGAGCGATGGCGCTCGACGTTGGACTACCACGGACGTCAATGTCATTCCCATTGGCGGTTCCGCGATTACAGTCGTCTTTGGCAAGTTATCCAATCTATGAATGATGGCAGTGTTTCTAAACAGCGCTTTAGTTTGGGTTTGGGCATACATGTCGGATTTCTTCCGCACGCGCTGGCTCTTGATCATTTTGCAAGGCATGTCTGATTCCACAAAACAAGCTAGAGACTTCATCTCACACAATTTTCCAGCCATCATTGCCATAATGGTCGGTATAATCATGAGCGTTTGGACGGCGCACCCTCAAAGCACGCCGCTTTCTGCAGCATACGCAGCCTACTTTATTCAGCGAATCGCCCTAGGAACTGCGCCTCTCATTTGGGCGTGGCTATCCGACTTGTCAGCATTTTTCAGACGGTATCTTCCCGTAGCCCCCTATACTTACGGGTTTTCATAGGTCGCCTACGGATCCAGAAGGTCGAACCCTGATTGTTGGTGCTTCCATCGCTGGCTACTACTCCATTTCGGCCTGGAGCCAAGTACTCCTCTGGCCTGCTAGCCAGGCTCCATACTGTAAGTTACTCGGGATTGTTTACCGCACGCCAGAGATTAAATTCGCTTTCATTAGACAATTACGGTTGGCAGTCTGCCTGTGCGCTCTGCGCACTGGTGGTTATCCTCTGCGTTGTTCTGCGCATCATGGATGTGCGCTACCTTGCGTGAGTCATGTTAAGGGTGTCATGTATCAAGGGCATCAGCTGCTAACATGATCGCTTTTTGCAGTCCCAAAAGAAAGGCGGATGCCCAAGTCGCCGCAGTCATTGCTGAAGAGGCACGTGGCCTGGAGGATGACTATAAGAAGCTGGATGCTGAAACTCGCGTGAGTCGTGTACAAAGCGCCACCACGCAGAATCATGATTCGTCCGCCGAGGTTAAGAAGTCATAATCAAGAATAGTTGGAGTCTGTCGGCTTGAGGCGAATCATGTCATGTAATCGATTGATGCAGGTGAAAACTTCAGCAATAGCATAGGCCCCAACGCCGTGCCAGCTTTATTGATTTATGTACTATGAACCCAAGATTTTTACGCAAAGGCCCCTACGAGCGCCATCAATGTAGCTCCAGCAACAACACAGAGATAGGCATGCAGTCTCTTTCGCCCTTTAAGCAACTTGAAACTCTTTTCTGAGAGAAAGTCCTCTGCGAGCAGCTGTACCAGGCCGGCGTAGAGCAGGAGGCCGGCAGAAATGGCATTCATGACGCCCACGGTAATCAGGCCGCCCATCGAGGCAGGGTCGTAGATGCGGTGCACGAACAGGCCGATGGCCTGGCCGATGGGGGTCGTAATGCCGTAGGCGAGGACCATGAGCCACGGGCGCGGAGAGCTGCGCGGAAATTGAATCGCGGCGATGCGGCTGCCAAGTGCCAGACCCTCAAAGGACTGGTGGAAGCTGATGGCGACGAGGAAGACTACAAACGCGGGGCCGGTAGCGACCGACAGCGCCATGCCAATAAAGACGCTGTGGAACAGAATACCAGCCTCCAGCAGCAAGCACTGCAGCATTTGTCGTTTCTGCTGCTCCGGTGTTTGAGGAGGCAGGCCGCTCGAGTCTGCTCGCATGCGGTGACCGCCGCGCTTCAGCGTTGCGTAATGGCCGCTTCCATTGCCATTTGCGCCGTTGGGTACGGGATCCAGCTCATCCATGTCAAGGTCGAGGTCCGAGTCGCCGTCCGCAAACGCATTATCGAGAGACGGCTTCCTCGGCTGGTTTGTAGTCGGTGTCGATCCTGGGAGCGGCGAGGCGCCAGCAACCAAGCCCTCGGCAGCCTCAGCGTCCGGGCTTCTCACAATGAGGTTGTCGGGGCGCTGGCTGCGTCGGTCGGCGAGACCGTTCAGGCGGTGGCCGTCGTCAAATTCGTCGCCTTCGGAGTCGAGCTCCTCCCAGGCAGCGTGGCTGTGCGAGTGCGAGTGGCCGGCGCCGCGGGCAGTCAGGTACGACTCAACGCCAACGACGATGATGGCGGACACCATGCCGATCAGGCCAGGAAGAGGCGTGTAGCCCTTGTTAAAAAACTCGGGGAGGCATGGGTCGGTCAGCGACTCAAAGGCCGTAGGGAGGAGGTGGACAAAGGCTGTCGCGAGCAATACGCCAGTGCCAATGTGCTGGCAGTAAAAGATGAGGCGGCCCTGGGATCGTCCGGTCGTCGCGCGTCGCCCGATCAGGGGAAAGCCGCAGGCTGTCAGTTTGTCGAGTGTTAGCGAGAACGCGAAGCCGTGATGCTGGGGCGCATCACATCAGGCAGACACAGAAAAGACGTACCCAGCGTGCTCAAGGCTAGAATCAGAAACAGGGCAAAGACGTGGGCGGCCATGTCATACCAACCCTGACCCTTTCCACCACATTTCGGTCGGCCGGTTGCATTTTGTCGGCGTTGGAGCTCGGCCAACAACTCTCCGGTTGACCATTGCGTGGCATCTGTAACGGGGAACCGTCCCATGTCAGAGACCTCCATCTAGACGTAAGATCGACCAACCGGGGGGCGAGTAGGGCGAAGCCGTGTACCCAAGCGCCAAACGTACCTTGTGCCAGGCCGGCGAAGTCACTCATGGCGAATGCTGTTGCGGAAAGCTCTTACGCGTCTTGAGAAAAGGACAGCGGCTCGCCGTTGGGTTTTATGCAAATGTAACAAACAGGAGGGTGCATTGTTGACCAAGACAAAGGTACAGGGCCAAGCATTGAGCAAATAAAGAAACCAGGGGTGCCACCTTTTTTGGGCGTTTTAGGGCGTCGGCCGGAAAGTATTGATGCAAGCAGCGCCACAGTCATCAAGGTACTCTGGCCTCCAGCCTCTAGCTGACCTCGTTCAAATTTCATCAATATAGGCTAAATATCATTGTTTCTGTCATTGTCCGACCAGGTGTTTTTCCAGTGATTGCATGCCGGAGATAACCTGAATGGTGCCCATGTGGCCGCACATCTGAGCTATCTACGGCCTAACAATTCAGCGGAGTACAGCCTGCCACTGAATCGTACCTTACCCAAGCCGTTATAGTGCATTTTGAGTCGCGATTGCGGGGCTCTCCCCAGCTCCAGGCTACCCATTGTGCTGTCTGTCCGTGCAGGTCTTTCTATGGGTATTGGAAGTCACGGCGAATTATCTATAAATAGAGTGCGCATATCATAATCTCATTATAACTGCAAACCTATAATACAATCATGCTCTTACCGTCCAACACGAATTACGCCAGCGGCAATCAACTTTTGAATCTTGGTGCGCACACTCGGGTTGCGCATGTGCTCTTGGAGAGCCATGGGGTTGGACTGGGCCTGTTGCAGAATCGACTGCATCACGGGGTCTTGCATCAAGCTCATGACCTGTAGGCTGTATTAGAAAGGTCGTCTCTTTTTCACTTTTTCAGCACTGTCAAAACTTACCTCGGGGTCCTTCTGCAGCCTCTCACGAGTCTGCTCCTCCGTCTCGTTGTCGCGAGCCGAGTACATGGCTGAAAAGGCCTTTTGCTGTTGCTGCTCGATTTCGCGGGCATTGGCGCCCTTGTGATGTTCCGCATCAATCGCAGAAGCTTCCGTGCAAGCATCGACGCACTCCGAGTACTTGCGCATACCAAAATAGGCCTGTGCCTTGCGAATGTACGCACGAATAAATGATACATCCTTCTTGATGGCCATGTCGCAATCTTCTAGAGCGCTTGGGAACTCAAACAGCTTGATAAAGGCCGCAGCACGGTTGCTGTAACCCCGCGGGTCATCAGGAGCGCGCTTGATCATTTCCGTGTAAGAAGCAACAGCTCCCGGAAAGTCACTCTCCTTGAACTTCTTGTTGCCGGCCTCACGAGCCTCATCAGCCTTTACAGGGTCAATGTAAGCAGCCTTGGCGGCTTCCGTCTTGGACTTCTCAGCCGCCCGAAGCTTGTTGAGGACATCGGGTGTGCGATGCTCGGTCAGAGATTTGTTGTAGTTTTCGATCGCCTTGGCCAAGTCGCCCTTCCGCTCGTACGCTGTTCCGATACGAGCATAGCTCTTCGCAATGAGTTTGAAATCGGCATATATCTCGCGGCCCTCTTCGATTGCCTTGTTGCACGTCTCAATGCAAGCATCGTAGTCGCCCTTTTCGAAGAGCGCGGCACCCAGGTTGTTGAGGTATGTGATATCCTTGTATGTCTCCCAAGCCTTGGTGTAGTGTTTGATAGCGTCGTCAAAGTTGCGCTTCTTGTAGTTCTCGGTACCCAATGCCTTTTCTTTCTCAGCCTCTTCCTTGGCCTTCTGCTTCTCAAGAGCCTCCTCATCGAGCTCTTCGGGTTCGGGTGCAAGATCTGGCATCTTTTGGTCAGCCGCCGGATTGCTCTCCGGGGCTGGAGCGTCCGACATGCGCACGTCACCCTGTTCGCGAGGGTCGCTGTCTCTCATTTCCATATCGACTCCCATCATAACACCCAACACTTGAATCATTCTAGGGTCGCTAAACATGTCGGTAGTCATTTGAGGGTTCTTCTGCAGCTGTTGCAGCTTGGCCATGAAAGAAGGGTCAGATAGGTAGCTGCTGGTCTTGGGGTTCGACGCCAGCTTCTGTAGAAGCTGTGGATCGTTGAACATGCGCGAGAGCCCAGCCCCCGGGTCATCACCTCCAGCACCAGGGAATCCACCGGCCTCTTGCTGCATGGCCTTTTCGACAGACGCCAGACCGCTCTTCAGCTGGGCATTGTTAGCATCGTGCTTGAGGCCCTCCTCGTAGGCATCGTTGGCACCGAGCAAATCCCCTTTACCGTGAAGAGCAGCACCCTTACGGCCCCAACCTTTGGCCCAATCCGGCTTGATCTCGGTCGTCTTCTCGGCGTCCTTCAGGGCTAAGTCCCACTCCTTCTTGGAAGCGTAGGCCGCCGATCTGTTGGAGTAAAGAATATGGTTTTCGGGTTGAATGGCAATGGCCTGAGTAAACTTGTCACTGGAGGTGGCATTAATACGCAATCGTCAAATCATCATGTACTGAGGCAAGGCCTGGAAATAGACTTACATGGCATCATCAAAATTCTTGTCGGCAATGGCCTTGTTGCCTAGAGCTTTGAGCTCGTCTGCGCTAGCCATGGCGAACAAAGTTGTTGATTGCCGGATAGGAGAGAAGTTTTGATGTGAAAGTCAAATTGTGCTTTTTGTTGTCTTCTGCTGCGTGCTGGTATATCGAAGATTGAATTTGCAAACTTTGAAACGGCTTGACGGTTAGAGAGGCTTGTGACGATAAATGGAGGGTGGGGAGAAAAGTTGAAGTTCCAATGTTGAAGTGCCTTCTAGCTCTTTCGATGGGCGTCCCCGCATTGGCCACCTTATTGGCCTGAGCTAGTGTGGGTCTCCAACTACACACAGGGGTGTCTGGCCGGTCATGTCACCGGCTTGTTTGTTGCTACAACTTACTTCATGATGCGTCGGACACGGCATTTGGGCAGATGCCCGACCGACCGCCCGAGGCTTCAATACGATATACTTCGTAGCTCGGTCAACACGGTTTTGAATACCTCGGGCGAGGGCTTTCTACCTACCAGATGACTCCTTCCTCCAGCCTACTCCGAAACATTGAGCTTCAGATGGTCCTGATTTTGTCATCGCAAGCGCTCAATGTCGTTGAGGGGGGGAAATCACAGCCTCGTCTTTACCCACATTCTCCGTCGAACCACTCTGTCTTGTAGTCAGAATTTGGCTAGGTTCTTCCTCCCGGTACAAAAGTCGCGGGCAAACTACTCCGCTGGCGCCAGATTGGTTCATGAGGTAAACAAAGCTGCACAGACATCAATTAATGGCCAATCCCGCCAGCTCAACACTGCGGATCCAAAAATACACAGCATCTTGTGTTACCACCTCCAAGCACAGTTCAGAACTTACCCCTCCTAAACCTATTTCGAGACATGCATCTTTGATGCGAGCAAGCCTACCAGAGAATGATCACGTTGCATACTCCAATCTCAGCGAACTGCCCGCAAAAAGAACCAGAGTGCAGGCCGCTCTCTTCATATGAACATACTCTATCCTAATACTCTTCGATCGCCAGCCTCCCATTACCCAGGCCACTTTCCCGAGCTAACTTGGCCACCTCAATCTCCAGAAAAGCAACATTTCCCACAAGAAATTCGTACCGACCGGCAGATGAAGAGCATGGCATTCAAAATCCTGTTCAGGCCGAGAACGCGGGTCAATTCAGCTTGTCGCTCGTGCCGTTTTCGTCTGAACAGGCTACTCGCTAGTCGTCAATCTATGCGGTCGTCCAGGTATCAGAGCCTCGGGGCACATACCAACACGCAGCCGGTGACGAATCTCTGCGAGGTCGGATGGGGAATCTACATCTGGCTGTGAGAATGAAACAAATTTCGCACACGTCATACCATGTTTACCATGCCTCGCACAAGATGGCAACGCCGACCGTCATATCCCGCAATGAGTTGTGCGGGAGAGTCCGCATCAAACGGAATGTTGTATCCATGCTTGAAATTTCGTCGCCAACTATTTGTTTGCTCTACGGGTGGCGTACGATAGCGGTACTTGCATCGAGTATGTCAATATGACTTCTAGGGACACCAAGCGCAGTTACTGACCTACGATAATCACATAACAGGCTCGAAAAGAAATTGGCAGCAGGCCGTCGGAGACTTGGGATTGTCCTGCAGCCTGGAATTCAACGGTGCATTGATACTCGACCACAGTTTCCAGGTGCCGTTCGCTGGAAAACGTTTTGTTTGTACTTCTTTGCTATAGGTTTTGATTCCGTGCTTGAAATGTGCTTTGTGTATAGATACGCCGAGGTGTTTGACATCCCTCTGCACAGTTGAGGGCATTTACTATTATGATAGATGGCTGAGCTCTACATCGATTGGTTTTTTGAAAGTTGGTAGAATTTGGCAGAATTGGCAAGACTGCTCATCATCCCTTAAACACAGTGAGTGTAGCACACGTAGATTAGGCCAAAAACCTGGGACACCTACCCTGCATACCACATCTGTTAACACGTCACGGACGTCCTTGTGAAGTGGTATTTCATTTCCAAAGACCGTGGTATCGGTACTAAGGGGACGCATGCAGAGTCAATGGCAAGATCGGGCCAAAGGCTTATTCTTAATACAGGGCAAAAGATGTGGCGTGGTTGCCCGCACTTTTTCAGAGTCCCGCGGGGCTGACTACGTATGTCAAGGTCTCACATTCCTGCATCGACCCATAGACCCTGGATCTAAGAATTCTCGTCAAGCTGATGTCAATTTTGCACCCATCATGCCACCAAAGCAAGCCACGCCGCAACCGCGGCGCACCCCATAGTGTCGAGGAGCGGCTTCAGCGACCCAAGTCCCGATTACATGGCTACCTTTGAGCAGCTATTATGGACCTGTGCTAAAAAGCCTTGGCTAGCCAGTCTAATTTAGTCTGGACGACTTTAAGCTGCAAATATGATGGCCCAAGTTTTGCACTGGAGTTTGACAGGTCACTCATTCTAAGAAGGCGTCTCCACGCGCTCGACTCTGCGCCCTGCCGGAGCTGCAAATCCGGGGTCCCGTGGTACTAATCGTGAACGGCCCGAATACAAACACTTGTCGCCTGAGACAAAGTTTGCCGGCTCGCAAATCGTCCTCTTCGCTCGTTTGCAGTAGTTTACTTCTGCACCGGACAAGGAGAGATATGCGACTGCAAAATAAAGATACAATGTGTATGGACTGCACATTGAGAGACATACGTCAAAGGCGGCGAGGCTGCACAAGTTGCCAAACAACCTAGTAAATACAAGTCCCGGGCGGATGGTGGCGCTGCGGCTTGCTTGTTCCTTGTTCCGCCAGCTCTGCTCCCCACCCGATAACTTGATGCTGTGTGGCATCCCTCATCAAGCCCTTTTTGAGTTTGTTCTGGTCGCAAATTCTCACTGCTCGCGGGAGCACCCGGCTGTTATAACAATGGGGCGGCAAGAGGTGGGTTCCCGGTTCCGCGGCTGCTAGGTCCCTTTGCTGTCTCATCGAAAGAAAGCTAGCTCTTAGTGTTGTCGCGATATGTTGACGCGATATGTTGACAAGCGATGGGCGACCAAAACGAAGTCGTGCGGACATTTTCAATTACGATTACGGAGCGTCATATGCTACTATGGGAGACTAGTTCAATTAGGGAAGAGTCGAGCCAATTCAACTAGCATTAATGCGACCCAAGTTGTGGTGTGTTGAGTTTGGAGCTCTACAGCTCCCCGCGACCCCTCCTTGATGTAGCAGTGCGGTGTCTAGGGTCCAACTTGAATGCCGGCACTTGGTTAAGTCTAGCATCTAGCTATCAGGGGCGTAGTCGGGGGCCACACTCTTCTGTTTAGTCTGAAATAGGTCAGCCGCATTCATCATGCCAACTACAGGTCACATTTACAGACGAGAGCGGCACGGGCGTATTAGTGAGTACCTTGTGAGTTACGGACGGACGTTGAAAGGCGACGTAGTTGTTCCTTAGGAGAAACTAGACACTCATGGTCGATCCGCTTATATACTCTTGCGAATCATCTTCTTCTTTCCACAGCTGGCAACAATCCGCAGTTCACAGAACAAGCCGATGCATAACCTTCATGTATCAACGTTGGTGCTCTCACCAAAGTTTTCGAACGCTGGATCAGCGCAGGCAAAGCATAGCAGACATACCTAATTGCAGTACACCCCCTTCCTACCTTTAAATCAACTCTGACACCCCCATGGTTTCTGAAATCGAGACATTTGCATTAAGCACTTGGTCTTCGCAGCAAACTCAGCTGGTGTTGTTGACCATGGCCCTCTTTGCCGCGCTGAAAAATTCCCTTTTATCTTATCTTGCTGTTTACACACTCATTGCGACGGTGGCGGTGTTGCTGTTTTGTCAAATACGTGCCTGGTACCGGTTACGCCATATACCCGGACCGTGGCCAGCACCATGGTCAGTATGGTGGCAGCTTCGAGGAGCCATGAGCGGCGTCTTTCCGCAAACTCTAAAAGAGGCAACGGACAGATATGGTGTGTTATGCCTTGGGCTCTTGCATTTCTGTTTTTTTTTTTTTTAATTGGGCCTTTTGATTTAATGACATGTTTGCGCAGGTCCTCTTGTCCGAATTGGTCCCAATCAGTTGGTATCCTCAGACCCCGAGGTCCTCCGTCGCATGTCTGCTGTGCGGGGTAACTATGTCAAAGCAAGATTCTATAAAGCTGCGAGAGTCGTACCCGGCGTTGATAATGTGGTGTCTGCATTAGACGAGGACAAGCACAAGGCCATGCGTGCCCAAATGAACTCGACGGTATGGACAACTCGCCTCTGCAACGCGGAGCATCATCACTGAAAGCAAAGCCTCCAGTTTACGGCCAAGGGCGACGAGGAATATGGGTTCGAGGCCGCAATGGGCCGACAAATACAAAACTTTGTCACAATGCTGGGAATCAAGTACACATCTGCAGACTCGGAAATTCGCCCAGTCGACATGGCTGAAAAGATCCAATTCCTCGCACTGGATATAATCGGAGACATCTCTCTCGGGAAGCCATTTGGCTACTTGAAACAAGATCGAGATCTATATAATTTCAATGAGATTAATATGTCGTCCTTGCCGATACTGACATTCGTCTCAATCTTGCCAGGCATTGCGGATGTTATACACACATGGCCGTTTCGATTGGCTTTACCCAAGGAAGGAGACCAGGTTGGATTCGGGCGCTTGCTAGAGTGAGAAAAGACGGTAAAATGCATGGCCCTCTCATATTAACGTGATGTACCAGGCTTGTCACTAAATCGGTCGAGACAGCAATGCACCGAAATGAGGCCAAAGAAGGTGCCCTGGTACAGAATCATGTTCACATTGGCTTGACAAAGGATGACATGATTCAGCAAGGATTTGTTGCCATGTTTGTGCATTGCTGCGCTTCTTCTTCTTCTTCTTCCTCTTCCTCGGAGGGCTAATGTCCACGCAAGAATCGCAGGGTCCAACACAACCGCGCACTCTATACTCATGACTCTCCTGTCTCTAATCGCGGCGCCGACGGCTTTCAAAGCTCTTCAAAAAGAAATTGATGAAGCCAGCTCAAGTGTCCACGACCCCATCTCGTGGCATGAAATACGACAGCTCCCTTATTTACAAGCGGTGATCAAGGAGAGCCTTCGCATGTGGCCGCCCGTGAGCGGCCTTGGATTTAAGCTTGTGCCGCCGGGCGGCGAACACATTAATGGATTCTTTGTGCCCGGCGGTACTGAGATTGGGCAAGCATTCTTGGCCGTGGGTAGGTCCAGGCAGATCTGGGGAGCAGATGCGGATGTTTTTCGGCCGGAGCGCTGGCTGTGTGCTAGCCATGCCGACTTGACCAAGATGAACAAGGCCGCGGACACGCACTTTGGGGGAGGCAAGTTCTCCTGTCTAGGAAAGCCAATTGCAATGATGGAGTTGCATAAAACAGTATATGAGGTAATGTCACACAATAACATTTACACAAACTCCCGGCTTCTTCTGATCCGGGGCAGCTTATGAAACGATTCGACATGGCCATCATTCACCCAGACAAGCCCATGAAGACAAAGGCATCGATTTTTGTTTGCGATACCGACTTTTGGGTTACACTGCGAAGACGGCCGGCACCAAATGAATGCCAAACCTTGAATGAAGAGCACCCTGCAGATTGACCGGTTATGCGTCGTCTCCTTCTCGGTTGCTGTGCATAGCAGCGATTGTGATGGACCTGGTACTATGGTACTATGGCTCCGGGTGATAGCTACGCAGTACAAGTTGAGGATTCTGGTATCGGTTTTTCGTTACCGTTGAGATACACTGGCAGTGTCGCTGTGGCCTTTGATAGATTGGAAATTTCTGACGAGAGCCTGAACGACAGTGGTGTATATAGACTGGAAATCAATCGAGGCCGGGAACGGTAAAAGAAAGTCAAAAGCACATACAGAATGACGTCGAAAATGTACAATTCTATTCGAAACGGGTATCTTTAAAGTACACGGACAGCTATGAAAGTGCCTATAATGCATCGCCCGCCGTCCTCCCTCGGCCTGGACTTGTTCCCAAGCTCTCCGGACCGCGATCGCCAGCAAAAGCGTCATCGTCGACGACACTTTTCGTCGTCGTCGTCGTTGTCGTCGTCGCAGATGGCCCTTTGCTGCTGCTGCCAAGCTCCGCCGTCTTTCCCATTGCTTCCTGGTATTTCTTGCCCGTCTCGTCCAGCAGCGCCTGCACCTCCCTCTCCCGCGCGGCGATGCTCTGCCTCTCGCTTCGCATCTGCGCCACGGCCGCGCTCTTGAGCTGCATCTGCGCCTCCATCCCGCCGAGCGTCGCCTGCAGACGCGCGACGCACTCGGCCAGGCTCGGCAGCGGCGTCATCTTGGGCGGCGGCATCTGCAGCAAATCCTTGGCCGGGTCTCTGCGCGGGCGTTTGAGGCCGTCCATGCCGGAGCGCGTCTGTGAAGTCTCGTACGCGATGCGGCGCTCCGCCTCGCTGTCGGAGGACGAATCGGAAGAGTGACCCTCGGCTGCGTTGATGAGCTCCGCCATCTTGGCCCGGTCCTGCTTGCGCCGCTGCTTCTCGGCGCGCTTCCCGAGAGAGACCCCGCCATCCTCGACAAAGTTGTCAAAGCCTTCGCCCATCTGATCTTCGTCGGTCGCTAGCCTTGTATCTTCCTTCTTCTTGGCTCTCCTGTCGTCGTCGTCGTCGTCGTCGTCCTCGACAGACAAGAAATCTTGCTCCTGCGCTAGTCTTGCTCGGCGCTCTTTTCGCTCTTGGATTTCGGCATCGGTGAGTACTTGAATCTTGGTTGCAGGAGGTGCAGGCGCCGGGGAGTCTACTATCATAGCCCCCTCCAGCTCGGATGCATCGAGCTCCATTTCATCGCCATCCGTTGGTATAGATGCAGAGTCTACGGGTGTGGTGGGTGTGGACGACTGCAGTTCGTCGAGATATTCCTTGCTGTATCGAGGCCTATCGTCATCGTCTTCAGACGTTCGAGTCGGAAATCCTCTCATGGCTATGCCTCGCTTCACGGCAATGTTCTCAACCACCCGCTGCCCTAGTTTTGACCTTTTCAACGGTTTTTCCAGTGACGTAGTATCATTTCCCTCCTCATTAACTCCTAAACCAAAAGACAGTCTCGAATTGGACTTTTTCTTCTGTTTTTGGGCGCCAAACCTGGCTTTCACAACCACAGGGCCGTTCTCACCATCTTCATCGTTGTGAGATGCTTTGTCGTCCTCATTATCAGCGGTGAATGTTTTTCGAAGGCCAGACTGCCTGTTTCCCTTTTTCGCTGGTTTTATCTTGAAGGACGGCTGTGAAGATTCTGTCATCGAGTTGGAGTCAGTCTCATATGAGTGGCTCAAACAGTCCCAAACTTGGCAGGGTAACATACCTGCGTTTGTCGCGCCACCAATCTCAGAGCCGGCATTCTCGGCGCCCTCTGAGTCCTCATCATCAATTTTTATTACACGGGCTTTTCGTCGCGACCCTAACGAGCTCATAATTATTTTGTGTTGATTTTTGAGGTAACATCCCAACTGTATTGCTGCCTGCTGAGATGCCACTGCAATAATCTTATCTGCACGTGATTCACTTTTTTTTGGGCGGCGGCGCGTTACGGCGCCAGGTTCTTCGCTGTCGGGTGACAGCTTGGTCTGCTTGCTCTCGCGCAACTGACCGATCTACCTAAACCAATCAAATATTTTTTCGAAATGGCGCCCGCCCAGCCTGAGCTTAAGAAGGTCTGTGATTCCCTCTGATGCGCTGCTGACATCTTTGACCCCTCGCGCCCGAGGGAGATGCAGACGCGAGCTTTCACCGCGAGCTCTTGCTAACTTCACGAACTACAGTACCTCGATAAGCGCCTGTTTGTCCAACTAAATGGCAGTCGCAAAGTCATTGGCGTCTTGCGCGGATATGACGTACGTCAAATGCTGGTGTTCTGGGTAGTCTCCGCCCTGTCTTTGCTAATCCCGGCGCACAGGTCTTCCTCAATATTGTCCTGGACGACGCATTCGAGGAGACGGAAGGTGGAAACAAGACTAGACTAGGCATGGTGGTATGTTGCGCCTGCCTCGCTCAAAACGATCTTCAGCTCGCTTGCGTCTGCTAACTTTACGAAAAGGTCATTCGCGGCAATTCAGTTGTCATGTTGGAAGCTATGGAACGCATCGGCGGCGACGACCGACAACACCGATAAAGGTTACAAAGAGAAAAAAGTTGTGGAAAACAAAAGGCATGATTTCAATTTCGCTCGGCGTTACGGTATGGAGGGAAGCACGATATACAAAGAAATACGGGATCAGAAGCCGAGGTGCAACAAGGGAAAACGATTATCCTGTTGTTTTAGAACTTGGCCCAATCTATGCTTTGGCTACCCAAAAATTCTCATCATAATTCTCCATCAACTTTCCACCAAACTTCTTATGCCAGCCTTTAATACCGCCCGTCAAGATAATGGCTTTCATACCAGTTTCGCCAACCTCGGTCAGGTAGTCCTGCATCCACCGAGCAGTCCTGGTTCCCCGCCCTACTGAGCTTCCTGCAAATGTTTAGTTGAGTCTCAATTCTTCTTTTTTATTTTTTATTTCTTTGCAAAGCCCCTACCGCAATAGAAAATTATGCGCTCGATACCAGCTTGCTTGCAGAGCTGATATACAACTGGCCTGGTTTGAAAGAATGACTGCGCGGGGAGGTTGATGGATGTGGCCACGGTGCCTCCGTCCCAGTCGGTCCGACGGACGTCGACGAGAAGGAAATCTCGTTTTGCGTGCTTCCGACCAGCAAATGTCTTCTCCAAAAGAGTCATGACCTCTGAATTCTCAATTGCTTCGCAAGTTGCCTGTGGCTCGGGCAGGCCTGCCCACCATGGAGGGGCTTCTCCCGAAGGAGGGGCATTCGCATCTGTTGACATGATTAAGTTGTGTCCTCTACCAGGATCGCTTGGGTAAAATTCGATGGGAAACGGTAATTATATTCTTCTCTTTCAAAAGATGAGATATATCCTGCAATAGAAGCCTAAGAGTTTTATGGGGGCTGGCTGTCGAGGTATTCAGAGGCCCACGTGATGCTTCCTTTGTACATGGCCTAGCAATGACAGAACTTCAGACTGAATCTCGATCAGCTGTAAGTTATGATACCTTGAAAAACATAAGATACATTCCAATTCACATCTTTTAAGGTAGTGCCATCCGACATCAGTACGATAGGAGACTGAGCTGTTTTACTGTATTCGCAAGGTCTTTGGGATTCCCTACCACACTAGGGTAGGTAACATTGAAAGAGCAAATGTGCCATCTCAGTTCTAGGAACTATCAAACAAGCCATCAGAATTGTATCGTAGGCATTCGCTTCATCAATACTGAATGAAGACTCTGGCGGTCGATTTGGCGTCGACTTGATATCTTTTGGTCCACATTGAATGCCCGCACCTCACTAACAATATGGCGTCGAAGAGCGAGTCAATCAAGAAGGTGCTTGTCATTCGTATTCGCATTAAGCATCGAGTTTCTCAGGGCTCGACTTCTTTTTAAGACTCTTGCTATTGGTGTACATGTAGTTCCTTCACCGAAACTCAACGCGCGTATGGTCGTGCCGCCCTATTATAGAAAGTGAGTGTAAATACCTTCAACCATCGACATCCAAGAAGAAAGAAGAGTAGTGATATAACAACAAGATGTCATCTGGAACCGTCAGTTCCCACACCTCGAATAACGCCCCCATACCAGTCGCCCTGTCGCCTTATTTCAAAACATTTACTGCTCAACTGTGCCCATTGAGTTCATAATCACTGCGCCCCAATCGAGATATCCATCAAACCAAACCGCGGGGTCGACTCCAGTAAGCAAATCGCTACGCCACGGGGTACTACCATACACGTTTTGCATTTGATCTGCTGGCATGTTGGGGTCCATTCCCTGCCAAGCACCGCTCCCAGTTTGCATCATAGCCGAGGTAGGCGCGGGCTCAGGCCCAGCCGTCCAGCCAGACATGCTCGTGTCCATGTCCGCCTTGAGCTGCTGTCCTGGGGAATGACTCTCACCCTCCTTGGACACGAGCTCGGCCCATCTTTCCAGCTTTGCCTTGGTAATGCGCAACTTTATCGCAGTCATGCTCCATACATTGGCTTCGTCGTTCCTCGTGTCCGTCGAAGAAATCTGGAAAGTGGCATTGGCTTGCTCAAAGCGGTTGCAGATAGCCAGCAAGATCTCGCCAACGTTGACCATCAGGCCGGGATGTGTCTTGAGCTGCGCGCGCAAGTGCGCGACGGCCGCGGGCAGAGCCGGGTCGAATACACCGTCAGCTGGCGTCATTGGACCAGGTATTGGGTGCGGCATCGAGCAGTGGTCCACATTTTGAGGCGACGCAGCTGTTTTTCGAGCGTTCTGTGGTTTAGGCTCGAACGATGCCAGACCTGTTGTGCCGCGCTGTGTATCTTCGGGTTCTCCAACAGGCTTGGGGGTCACAAGCTGAGCCCACCTCCCAAGCATTGTCAACGCATACACAAGCTGAGACGCCACAGCTGTCGTCTGACAAGCATACTGGGCAACAGGTACGGCGAACCAGTTCTCGAACCAACCTGTGATAGCCGCACTTGTATTGTAGAGACGATCGAGAGGTGTTCCGCCGCCTGCATTATTGAGCGTGAAATCATCTGCCAGGGAGGCGATAAGATCCTTGTCTACAACCGGAGGTTCATATAATCGCAGACGGGCGGTGTTGAAGTACATTTTGATGATATCTGGCGAAGTCTTGTTAGTCTCCAATCCCTGTTATGGCTCAATGCAAATACGTACTATCATTCTGGAGATGAACCGGCAGCTTGGCTCGTAGCTCTTCGAGTTCATTTTGAAAAACGGAAACGTATACCGCCGCGGGTGCCTTTGGAATACTAGTAAACTCTTCAATGGTGTTGTCTCTTGGGTTCAATTCGGAGATGCGCTGTGTCAAGTACTGGATCCGCAAAAGAAATACGAGGATAATGTCCGTCTCATATTCCATATCCGTTTCGAGTATTGTGAGGCATTCTCTGACATATGAAGTGTATCGCATAGGATCAATTCTGCCAAATACAGTCGACAGTCTAGCTTGGGATTAGTATCGAAGAGCAAAGAAAGTAGGACAAAGTTGAGGACTTACGAAGAAGCGAGAAACCAGACGCCAATAAAGGCCCGTCTCTCTTCGCTACTTCGAGCAGAAGGTGCGGGAGGCTGAGCAGCCATCTGTCTGGTACCCTCATGAATTATAGCATGTCGATTGAGCCCCATTTCTCCAATCAGAGAAATCGCTAATGACAGCAGGTTGTGAAGTTGAGCATGAGTGAAGCAGTGGTACTGATACCAGCCGAGGATCACGATAATTCCCAATAGAAGATCCATGGACCGTTCCGAACGAATCAGCATATAGTCGGAAATATGCTTCTTCAGTGCGTACATCTGCGCTCTCATGGAGCGCAGGCTGCGGAAAGAAGTCACCATGCGAATCGCGGACATGAGAAACGGACGTGTTACACCGAGCTTCGCGGCTGTGACATTGTTTGGAATGATGACGAATGGGAATAGGTGCTGCAGCTGAGTCTTGTATGTCTCCAAGGCGACATCATCTGTCTCTGGAGGCGGCGGTGCATCTCCCGGGGCCGGGCGGCAGATGCAGTTTGCTACCCCGAATGAGTTGTATGTCGCTGGAATATGCCATTCTTTCTGCAGCTGCTGCGGCTGGCTCGGAGTTGCGTTGTGAGATATGGGTGACTCGGTTATCTGGGATGATGTAAGATTAGACTCATCGTAGTCACCAGGAGTGCTGCCGTCGTGCTGTCCCTGTGCCTGGTGTGGCAGCTCTCCTGATGCTTGCAGCAAGCTCACCAAGCCATTTAGACGCTCTTCAATCTGTGCAGTGCGTCTGTGTTTCAAGATTAGTTGATTGGGATTCACAAATGCCATGGCGACTCAAGATTTGGGCACTGGAGCGAGAAGCGACTCACGAGGGCTTGGGCTGTCTTTTCTTTCGGGGTTTGTGTACTTGATCCGTACATTCTTTGAGTAACCGTTCACATCTATGACATTCGGCGTCAGCGACTCGATGTATTGGTAATATCCGCCGCTGCCGGCGTCATGGTTGAGGAAGCGTCACGACAGTGTGAGGCGCAGCCGGGGTCCGCCACCGGCCAGAGCAACGATATATTCCTCGGGCGCGAAAATGGCTTTGCTCTTGCTTACCGGTCGCATTTCGACAGAGGGGCTTCATTCGAGCGGATACATTTTGCTTTCGCTGTTGCACAAGCAGCGCAAGCCGCACCCCATTTCGCCGTCGGCAATTTCGGGCGGTCTTCGTTGGGCATAATCCTCAGAGAGGCGCACGACGCCAGACGGCCCCGGATTGATCAAATATTATCAATGGTAAGGCTTTAAAAGAAGCGGGCGATCAACGTGGCTTCCCAAGTCGCCAATCAAGGGGTATCAGAAATGAAAATAGGCACTTAATAAACAACTCTTAGGGTTACAAAAGCAGGTCGCAGGAGAGAAACGGCATTTTTTGCAAACTCCGTCTATGACGGTGATAGAAGTGGGCCGACCACCAAGCTCTCGGGGCCTCGGCAGCTCTAGCCTATCGGTTTTAATGTGGCACCAGTGCACCACCACCAGGACTGCATCGACACAAGGCGCTGTTTCTGTTTGCGGAACGCTGGGCAGTCCAAGAACTAGATAGATTCATCCCCAAGGTTCGACGGTGTAGTATTAGTCATCCTGGTAACCGCCACCTTCACATGTATGGCGGGGATAACCCTTATCATGGAAAAAACACATGCCTGAATTCAGTCCTGGTTCTATTAACATGCCAAATAAGGCCCAAGTGGTTCGACGCTGCTGCTTCGAAGCTCAAAAGCCCGCACCCCATTGGTTGAGGACACTTGTTGTCCACCCTGTCGCCTATTATAATACATTGCCCATCTTAATGAATCGCCTGGTTGATGATCCTGCCCACATTAGCTTGTGACTTGAGTAGAACAATGTCAATGATTTCTTCATACCATGATTCTACTTTGAGCGGGATACGCCAGCACCAATGACACCGGGGAGCTTCTCCTCCCCAACGCTGAAAAGCAAGCTAATGGCCATCCAGACAACGCCAACGATAACAATGGTGAATCCGAAGAAGAGCCAGAACGGCACGCTGACGTCTTGCTTGGCGCAGGTAGCACCGCCCCAGTGCGTAGGCCCGCTTTTGTTGTTATGGGTAGGTATGCAACGGCATACAAAACAAACGTCTCCTTCCTTGGGGTTTTCGGGAATGGCACCGTATTTGTTCACGCAAGATCCGTGACCCGAGCAGTTGTCTGTACTAGCGATACAGCTCTCATTGGAGCTGAAGCACGAGGGAATGATCTTATGCGGGAGTGACGTCGAGGAACTTGCGGCGAGGTGAGTGACGCTCACAGGAGCTGCCTTGTGGTTGGAGGAGATGACCTGCTCAGCTTGTCGACGGCGGAGCTCTTGGGGCTTATCAGACCACGAAGGCTTCGCGTTATCGCTCGTTTCAGGCAGGAGTACAACGGTCGCTTCGAGTTTCCCGGCCTCGGTAAGCTTGGGGATAGATCGCAGAGCATCGAGGATGCTATTCATCGAGTCTGGCTTCTACGACCATATTAGTTTAGGAAAATGATCTCCAGCCTGAAAGCAGCATACCTCTGCGACGTTGTATCTGGCAGCAGTAGACGATTCGCTCCAGCACTGGCCATTCTTCATTTGAACGATCTCGCCCAGAGAGCAACTGTGTTGTGTCGTCGCCCCTGCGTTGTATGCATCGATTTCGAATAAATCGTGATTGGCCGTGGATGATGGCAGATCGTCTATCGTAAAAGTCGCATCCTGACCGAGGGCTTTCCCTGCGTCCTTGATTTGTTGCGCAGTCATGCCGTCAACCATAACAAGTAGCCGCTTAGCCACAGGCCCGGCGGTAAATAGTCCATCTCTGGAAGAAACAAATTTGTTCAATGTGTTAACAGCATCGTCGGCGCTGATGTTTTCGGGGATGTCTTTGATGGTTGGACCCTCGCCAGGCTTGGCCAGGCGCTGGAGGAACACGAGTCTGGCTAGGCTGCGGTCGAGCGAGGCTGTCGAGGCGGACTCATCGCGGGGGAACGTGAAAGCTTGTCCGGTAGTTGTCGCCGCAGCGGTGCAGCTCGCAAGCGCCGCAATGATCCCTGCGGTGAATTTCATGATGGCTGTTGGATCATAAAGGCTGGGGCTGTCAAGCGAACACCGAAACGTCACCACCAAGGGAATGGTTTGGCGTGTACCTACCTAGCTGCATGCCATTACGTTGTGCGGAGCTCGGCGTTTGGTTACTCCGGCCGCTGTTGGTGGCGTCGCATTACTAACAAACTAATTAACCTACTGAATGTGTGCCCAACGACGAGCTATATCATCGCCACCTGCGCATTCTCAAATTTGGCGTTTTTTTTTCGAGCAATATGCATTCTTCTTCTTTGCGGCACTTTACAGGCTTTTCTACATGAACGATAGATTATATCGTCTCTTTTCAGACCATGGCGATGCGACGGCTGGCGCCTGCGCCAAGAGCGGCTTTCAACGCTCTTCGATGGAAACCAGTCCACAGCCAACAGGCTCCTTTACATACCCGACGAATATCGTTGATGCCATGGCGCAAGAGTGGAATCACGACCCAGCCCCTGCCCGTTTATTTTCCTAGACCAGTGAGTCGCTCACGACTCAAACCTATACGCCGCTTTGTCGGGTAGGAACCCTGGCTCAAACCATTGCGCAATCGCTCTGCTGACGCTCTTGGTTATTCATGTACAGGCGCATTCTTCTCACAGCAAGCACGGCATTCGTGTGCTGGTCTATTTTCTATGTCATCGTTCTGGAGCCTTTGTTCGACTGGGCGGAAGAGGAGTGGGATTCCATGTCCGACAAGGAGAAGCAGGAACTGGCTGAAGAAGCCGGCAATGGTTCCGACTCGATACTGTTCTTGCCCATGCCGTTCACCATAAGCGAGGTTAGCCAACCACCATATCGAAACAGTGACCCGGAGTGGCAAGAGTTTGTTACCTTCAGCCGAAGAAAGGATGGGGGCGAGGATATTAAACGTGGGTAACTTGGGCCGCCAAATCGAGACAGTGTCTAGTCGTACTAACCAGGGATTTCTAGGCAAGCTGGCCGACCTCATGTGCAAAGCGATCGAGAGCAGTGATCAGTACATTCGACTACTCGGCGGCAAAGATATCCACGTATCTCAATACTGGCTCGATACAATATTTCCCGCCCAACCGCCACCTAAACACTACGTAGCGGGGTAAAGTCCCTTTTTTAGCTCGTCAGAGCTGCCACTCCATTGTACTGACTGTCATTGCAGAATCAGCATCGAAGACGACGGAATTTACTGGGCGCACCGCCCTATCGATACGCTCGCAGCGAAGCATTTATATCTCGCCATCTACCCCGCGGCGGTGGCCAAGGCGGCATTGAGTTTTGTCAGCGCTTATGGCAAAGGCATCGCCTCCGACATGGCCATATTCCTGGGCATCGCCGAGCCGCCGGCAAAACAACGTTCGACGTGGGAGCCGACCATGGTGCAGCGCGTGCAGCTGGAGACCGTCGGCCCCAGCGCCAACCGAGAGCTGCAGGATTTGAAAAAGAATCACCAGTCAGTCGTGTCCATCGGGACTGAGACCTCCACCACTCTGCAGCGAGCCACGTCGGCGGCGTTGGTGACATTGGCGAAGAGCTGGAAGCCCGCGCGGCGGGGCCCCGGCCCCGGCTGTATCAGGGTGGATGGCTTGATTCAGGTAGCAGGAAAGAAGGCTTACATGGCTGTTTACGTTGTCGCTTGGTTCGACCCGAAGCAGAACAAGTTTGTTGACATTCAATCACAGCTGAAGCACCTTGTGCCGTTCAACCAGTACCCGGCGAATTGAGGTTGGTAATTAACGTGAGGCGGATGAAGTGATGGAGTTTTTGTGCATGGGAAAGGAAAAGCAGAGCCTTCACTGTGATTTTTGTATATTATGTAGGCAGCATGGCATTAGCGCTCCAAGTTTCTTTGCTCACTTACGGAACCCAATACTCCCGATAGCTGCAACATTGCCCACAAAGTCCTGCAATAGTCTTTCATGTCACGGGCCGCAGAGGCAGCGTAGGGTTTATAATCATACTTTTGTTGATTTACACTCAGTTGACGGGAATAAAACCCAATTAATACACAAACAAATCATCAGTGGTGCCCAAGACAGTGTAGCGCGCCGAACGGACGGCGTTGAGCTGAAACCTTTCCCTAGGTAGTAAGCTCTCTCCCCAAAGATTCGTAAAAGATTCCCAATTTTGCCCCAAAGAACCTATACAGAGACAAATAAAATG